GTAGGTCAAAGGTCAATTTCAAGGTCACAGTAAGATTGCCAGTATATGACTTCCTATTCAACTTCAATAGTAACTATGGACCTATCTCTGCCAGTTTTGGAGATATAAGGGACTAAATGTTATAATTTTGGAGTTACCATAATGTGCCATAAATTTCCTACAGAAAAAATTAATTAAAATAAAGAAAAGGTCATTTTGGTCAAAATTCTTGAAATGGGAGGTGTTCTGAAGTTCGAGATGTTCAAATTTGATGATATAATGTCATTTTTGACCACGAGTTGTCTGCTTTGCCAAGCCTTATGTTTTATTTTTCTGGAGTTCAAAATTTATTATCCATTACCGTACTGTACATTTTGCTTTCACCACCAATGTACTTTTTGATACAGCGTAACTTTGGAGATAAAAGGGAAGCAAAATTTGCAAAGTTCAGTTCATGGTGAAAAGTAGGTCAAAGGTCAATTTTAAGGTCACATTTAGATTGCCAGTATATGACTTCCTATTCAAGTTCTATAGTAATTATGGACCTATCTCAGCCAGTTTTGGAGAAAAAAGGGAAGCAAAATTTGCATAGTTCAGTTCATGGTGAAAAGTAGGTCAAAGGTCAATTTCAAGGTCAAGATGACCTGAAGGGAACGATCCGGACGGGACTAAAACCATGTGTACCGCCAGCGCTAACACTGGTGGTACAATAAATAGAAGAGCGCGCTGACGAGAGGGAGCCTTTTTGGCGTAGAAGACTCAGATGAGGAATCATCAAGCAATGTAGAAGCCTTTTTACCAGATGATTTTGCAGTTTTATATTGATTTGCTTCCATTATTTCAGAGCACAAGATAGAATTTCTGGCCCATAGTAGGGAAAATAGTAAACCTCCCAACAAAGAGCGTTTTCTCATTGCTTTATTCTCTGGGGTATCTAAGCCAGATAATTTAGACAATTATTTACAGGATTTTCTTGACGAGTGCCAACAAATACAAGGTGGATTTATCTGCCATGGTAAACATGTATTCATATCCATTCACTCATTCATCTGTGACACACCTGCCCTGGCCTTCATTAAAATCATTACATTAAAATAATTTCATCTTTAACTTTGATTTTTGTATCTACAGAGGCCTCTGCACAACTTAAAATTACCAGAAAGTTGTGGCAAATTTATTCAGCTTTCTGTCAATGTAAGCATGTAAGGAACTGTGCCTTAAGCTAGGAATGGCATAAATCAATTCACAGTCATGTGCATAAAAAAATGTACGCTCGCCATTTCTGCGTTTCAGCCTCGTTTTGGCTTCACATACTTCTGTTTCCATGACCCTTGGAAGGTGACTATCATATGTTCGCAGATTCTTGTGGTATTAATTTTCCTTTTACATTACTTACTCATTAATTAATATTTCTGTTTATTTGTTCATTCTTGTTGCTTTCATTTAATGGGTCTTGCTTTTAATGTTTTGATATTCTTTAATTGTCTCTTTTGCCATTTTCACATGTCAATTCTCTCTAATTTTCTACTGTCTCTCCTTTATTTGTCTTTGTCAGTCTTTTGTATTGTTTGATATTTATACTTGTCTGCCTGCCTTACTGTCCAGTCGTCAGTTCTGTTCGTATCTGTCATTGTGAGCTTTTTAACTCCATTTTCTGTACCAAGTATAGCTGATCAATAGACAAGATCCTGCACAACCATCTTTCATAAAATTTGAATTTTCTATTGTGATTAACTTTATAGCATTTGACTATTGTCGTTCTTGGCTTTAAATTTGGCTCTATTCTGGCATATGAGAAAAACCACAATTAGATCAGCATGACAACAAATGAAACAGTGTAAATACACAGACTAACAGCAGTAAGTTAACCATGAAAGAGCAAAGGATACATGTTAAGTCTAAGTCGAAACCATTATCCTGATATCTTCTTTTCTTTTTTAACCCTTTCTAATGCCATATGATGTGATTTCATGTTGGTGCCCATATCTGTAGATTTGTTTGTGAACTTTTTAACATGTGGAAAGTTTTGGACATGTGAGTTGGTTCAGACAGGTATATTCATACATTTTACCAAAAGGCTATAACTTAATATAATACATACAATAATGCTGTGCTGATCTATTATATACAGAATAAATACAGAATTTAAAGAAATATTATACAGCTGGTAGACATATACTTTGAACATTTTAGACTGCCAGACAGAGAATTGAATGGTGTAAATGCTGATCAAGATTATGTCCAGCTGAGCAGACAAGGTATCTACTGACAAGATGGAAGGATGGAGAAGGATTACATGACCACATCAGATCAGGAAAGCCCACTAAGTTCACAGACCTTCATAAGACGGTCATTGATGACAAGATGACCAGGAATAAGGAGCTGGTTGCCAAAGACTTGAAGGAGATTCTCAAAGAACATACAGGTGAAAACAACACCACTTTCAAATAAATTTGTATATATAAAGAAAAAATTTTATAACTGAAAGTTCATATAACTCCCGTTCTTTTTCATTAATTTTAACAGGTCTGCTTGTGTCATCCAGCGCTGTATGGAGATTAAGAAAGAAGGTTGGCTGGGTGAAAAGTGGGAAAGACTACTGCCAGCTTGTGAGGATTGATCAACTGTCTGAAAAGAGTAAACTGGTGTCAGGAGGTCCTGGTAATAAAAGACAAATTTGAGGACATTGTGTTTCCTGGTAATAAGTAAGCAAAAATCTACAGATCTGCATTCAAAATACAACGTATGTGTTGTTGATTAAGTGCATATGTTTAAGATATTTTATTCTGCTCACTTTGTAAATTCATTTATATTAGCACCGTTGTTGAAAAGATATATACATACAAACATTTACAATAATTTTTTGATTTTTGAGTTTCATATTGTTTTATTTAATAATATACTATTTGCTCATTTACTTCAGATGAGTGTACAGTGGAAATGGACTCAAACTGCTGACATATTTTCCAGAAAGTGATAAGAGATGTAAACTGAAATGACATTAGCCTGCCATACCCACTACACAGCAGACCTAAGTACCTGTACAAGATCCATGTATGGGCAGGTTAAACGCTACAGTGGAATATTTAATACTGATGTGAAAAATATATTTACTTCACTTGTAGAAATGTGATGAATTAAAATTTAATGAGTACTTTAACAGTCCTGGTATGAAATCTAAATAGCCAGGACTGTGAGAACTAGGTTTTTAATATAAGAGTACAAGTACCGGTACATGTAAACTAATGGACTGATATTATCTATTTCAGACATTTCACAAAAAGGGGTAACACCAATAGTTACATTCACTGGCACAATGAACAGTGAAGTGTACCAGATAGGACATTCTTCATGACACTCTGATTCCACTTCTGCAAGAAAGGTAAGCGACAATCAGCAGTTTTAAAACAGAGTCAATCAGTATTATTGTATATCAATACGTACATTGTCAATGTCTGTTCATTAACTGAAAACCCTGAAAATAGTTACATTTCGTTATCTCTTCTGAATTAACCACAGGTTTCCCTTGGGGCACAGGTTCTAACCTGATAACGCACCCATGCAAACCAGCAGGTTGACCGCCACATTTTTTTTAACAACACAACAACTGGTTTCAGATGCCCCCCGAGAGCCCTGATTTGAACCCCATCGAGCTGCTGTGGGCTGAACTGAAGTATTTCATCAGGAATTGGGCAAAACCAAGAACGAAAGATCAACTGGTAGCTGCCATTGAAGAATTTTGGACAAACATGGATCAGGCTAAGTGTGTTAAGTATGTTAACCACATTCAGAAGGTAATGTCCGAAGTAATGTACTTTTTTTTTGTTAAATATAATTGTATTCTGCTCGAAGATGGTAAAATAAAAATCTATATTTATCTTATTCACCTTGATAGCAGAGCCAAAGGTTATTAAATATAAGTTACTGCTGTGGTATTTTTAGGCTTTGACTTTGTAAATATGTACAATATCGTAAATATGTTTTTTAAACAGCCCTGTACTTTTTATACAGATTAATTTATATCTATTTTAATTTGTATAATACTTTGCTTTGTATATATTTGTATAACCAATACTGTATATGTATATATATATATATATATATCATACGTATATATACGTTTATATACAGGGTATTTGATGTAAAAATTGCAAAATTAAGAATTTGGAAGTGGTACGTTATAGAATAAAACTTGTAAAAATCATAATATCTACATATGATGATTGATATGTTTAGAAAAGATTTGGATTTTTAAAAACTTTCTGAAAAGATTGCATTAAAGATTAAGTTTCCCTAAGACATATATGCTTATTTTTTAGTTAAGAGAAAATTAAAGCAGAGAGGTTGGTTTGGCCAACTGGGCAAGAACTGGCATGTGACTGTGGTGATCTTCTGAAACAATTTTAAAGAGGTATGTGTGTAAGTATACAGTTAAGTAATAATTTCATTGTTAACTGTAATTTTATTGCTAATATGGAACCTGCTAGTTCTTTGTATTAGTATTACAGACCAAATGACCCACTTCATAGAAAGGTGTCAAAATTAATGATTTGGTTCCTGTATTTTTTTCTTTTTTGGAAATCAGTCATCCTATCAGTGACTAAGCTTTCAGCGTGAAAATATGTTTTTAGATAGGGTTGCTGCTCTTTTCCCTGCCTCTCTATACTACCTACATAAAGCGATGGATATAGACAGAGGCAATTTTGTTAGGTATGTCACATGTCCAAACACAGACTGTGCTGCTGTGTATGATTATGAAAAATGCTTTGATACCAATCGTAGAGGAGAAAAGGTTGCCAGGAATATAGGAATGTCCCTTTTTGTAAGGGAAAGTATAGCAGGTCTTGTGACACCGTTCTTTTTGATAAGGTCAAATTAAAATATCCAAAAAAGGTATATAGCTATGGATCTTTAACAATAGAATTAGAGGGTTTTTTAATGAGAGATGATTTTGAGGACGTGTGAAAAATGGCATAGTAGGGATGTTAAAGAAGGTGAATACATTAATGTGTTTGATGGTAAGATTTGGTCAGATTTCCTTGTGATTTTCTAGCTGTTCCCAGGAATTTCAGCTTAATACTGAACATAGACTGGTTTCAGCCATTTGACAGACATTTATTTATTTATTTGGTTGTTATGAACTTGCCCTGCAATGTAAGATTTAAAATCTCATTGCAGTAGGGATCCTACCAGCACTGAAGAAAGAACCAAGTAACATTAGTTCTTTTTTAGAATTGGAATTAAAATTGGAAAATATTATTTGTTGTTTATGTAAGAAAGTTATAATGGTAAAATTTATTATACCAAAAATCAATTAATAAAAATTGCACGTGCGCAACATAGCGAACCTTTCGAGATACGGAGCCCAGGGCTGCTGTCACTCTGCCATCCACAGCAACACCATGTAGTAGCAGAGGGAGGGTAACAAGTACATATGTGGAATAAAAACTGAACATTTGACATATTAATGGAAAATATCACAGTTTAACAACTGTTGCAAAATTTAATTTGTTTTAAAGGCATACTTTTTTCATTTTCTTTTGTTAGTACTTATTCACAAAAAACGCATATTCATAATGCACATGCAACATTTTCCTTTGTAGGCAGTGCAGGAAGTAGAAAGAGGACAGTTAAAGGTAAGTTATTTGCATTTAATTATTATTTTTAAGTTCTTCAGGGTATATTAAGTCATTCATTAATGTTTTCAACATTTTTCATTATTGTAATTTCACTACTCAAGTAGTAAAGTCACTTAATCATTTTGTTTCAGCATTTTTATGTGTGATATTATGTGATACTATGAAGAAATGAATAACCAATAGATTTCATGTCTTTGCAGAGAGCAGTGTAGTGGAGGACTTGCATGCCAAGCTTCTTGAACAAGAAATGAAAAAATGCAATGAAAAAAGAGAAGAGATTAGATCTGCAAATTACTTTACTCAAAAAAAACAAAAAAAAAACAATAAATTGACTTGTTTTGGCAGAGACGAAAGAGACACAAGAGGAAGACACTCAAGTTGATGATATTGATGAGACAGAAGACGACCACTTAATGGTCACCCCTATGCGGCCACGGGCAGACAGCAACCCCTCTAGTAGCAGTGGGTCAAGTATGTTGTTATATATTATATATATTTGGTGATACTAGCAACGAAAATTTTTCTTCGGCTCACACACATTTCTATCACTGTTCCACCTATTTGTCTTTAACACCGAGTACAGCAATATCTTAAAAGTTGAATGAAACATACCCAGGCCAGACATTATGGAGGTGCCGTACCAGTTTATTTATTGAAGTCTAGACAATGTTCAGTGTCTGTACATCAGGAATGTACTGTTATCCTTGCTTTCAGTTTCTGTTAGTCACACAAATGGCTAATTAGTAAAGATTCAGTTTCTAGAAGAAAGAAATAAAGTTAACATGATGTTTGAGAATATAAAAGTTATGAACTGTTTGAATTGATATTGTTTAGTCATTAAATTTTCCTCCAACCTTAAAGTTTTATATATTTACATCATTTTATTTTATTCTTTTAACAGAATTCAAGTTATTTATGTTTACATAACTAAAACATGTCTAGTATTAAAAGGGTACTGAACTCATACATTGTACCTTGCAAATGTTTTATACACATGATTTTTATTTCAGGCTCTAGGAGGAAACGGAGAGCGACTGGGGATGATGTTGACAGAATACTCAAGACAATGTTTCAGAGACAAGATGAAATGAGGGACAAATGGGCCGCACTGGAGAAAGAAGTAGAAAAAAGTCATAGAAAGTGGGCCAATGAAATGGAACAAAGTAGGCAAAGGTGGCTAGAGGGTATGGAAGAAAGGAAAAGGCAATGGGCAGAATCAGTGGAAGAAAAGAAAAACAAGTGACGAAAGGAAGACTGTGAGCATGAACTGAATGTTTTGAAAATCTAGCCAAACAATAATAGGGTCAATACAAGGAGTGCAGCAGCAGCAGGAATGGCAAACAGGAGACCAGAAGAACCTCTTCCACAAAGGCCAGCCCAAGTGCTTGTAACTTTACCAACTTTTTTTACTCCAGATCCCTTTTATGGGGACACTGATGAAGAGCCACAATACTGGCTCAAAGTATGAGGCGTTTGTGGCCAATCAGCCAGACAAAACTCAATATCTACCTTTTCTATTAAAGAAAAGAGCAGATATATGGTTTCAAACTCTGCCAGAGAGAGTTAGGAAAGACTTCACCTTGTTTAAGGAAGAATTTCTCAATTCCTTCCAACAAACACAACAGATGAAGCTACAGAAAAACAGTAGAACTATTTCATCAAAAGCGACTTAGAGATGATTTTATATAAGTAAATAAATTCATATAAATGATGTAATTTAGTAATTAAAATTAGAGACATTGATATATAAGTAAATGAAGTCATATATATCTAGACCATTATATATATAAATAAATTTATATATTTGAAATATGTAGATAGTAAGTGAGACAATTATGTATTATGTATGAATGACTGAAGTTGTATATACAGTTAGACAAATATAAATAACTACAAAATTGGAGCACCAATTTTCAAGAGCAAGGGAGATCTATAACAGAGATGATTTTACATTTTACAAACCTCAATGGTTTTTGATAAGAAGAAATATACATACATGTATTTGGATAAATAAAATTGCATGTCTGCAGAAGAATTTTGTTACCTTGGGATAACTAACTGATCCCGTCTGAAGATTATATGCTACAATGAAGGCAGGATGCTGATCATTTCAATAATTCAAACTGTAATCTGTTAAATCTAAAATCATGCATATAAGATACTGTTAACTTGGGATAATTTAGTGATCTCGTCTGAAGATAAAATGTTCAAATAGAAGCATAAAATTATACTGAACTGACCAATGAGAATGAGAGGGACCACCCCTCACCTCAGAAGTAGCACTGGACCTCTAGTTCAGTTGAGCTCCAGCCACCATACTATACACACTGTTTCTTGTGCAGTTTAGATTAATAAAGTTCTGTAACCACACCAAAATCTTGTTGGTTATAATACCTTCACCAGGTTTGGGCATTTGTTTGAATTCAATTTTACAGATATACTTCCATCTTAGTCCATATAAATGTGTGTATACAGTCAAGAAGTACCAACTTTCCTGCACAACAGACCAATATTGCAGTTTGTGAGGCAAGTAATGTATTGGTGGACTACATTTAACATCAAGAGGCTGTCATCAAACCATTTCAAAGCAAAGAATGATAACCAGACAGAAAATCTCATTGGATCCCTGCGGCTGTGAGTGCCCTGATTTCTGCCAATATAAAAGTGCATGCAAACACCTCTTTGCAGTCCTGAAATTTCTGGGGGGGGGGGGGGGGGTGTCTTGGTCTTCACTGGGCTCAATCTTTATCAGCAATCCAGCATATTTGCTAGATGAGGATGTCATTGACCAATCTCCTGAGTCATATGGTGATAAAATTTCAGCAGTTACATCTAAACCTCCCCCTCTTACATCTGAGTCTCACCCTACTAAAAAAGATGTCATATTAAATGACCTTCCAAAAAGAAAGAAAAACTTGGCCAAGAAGGGGGGGGGGGGTTCTGATCTCAACTTGAGTCAAGCAGATGTTTTTATCATATCAATTAATATTTTAGAGATTTTGATTACCTTATTGGGTTATCAGGCTGTCATCATAATTTAGCATTAGCTAGCTTGATACAATTTCTGCCTTAGTTTTTTGGTTTTGTTTCTTTTAGAGATATTGGGCACACAAACTGTATTTTGTATTAATTACTCATTATCTCTTTAAATGTCCAATTGAGTGTATAAGGTGAAATATTCTTATAAAAATTATTAAATTATTTTGTAACAAAACCATCAACTGTTCCCACCAGAAAAGAAAAGGCAGAAGTTAGATTTGGTCCAGGATTATGAAGATAAAAGAGGTGAGATACATATATAAATAGTTTATTGTCAAGCAAACATAAACCTATTGAATTTGATATAAAAGTAAAAATCATATAACAGGTTTGAAAGGCCAAAGGGATAGTGAGAAATCTGTAATGGTAAACGATTTATGTAATTTGTCAGAAGTTTATTCCAATATTAGGGTACAGCTGTAGGTGTTTGTCATGATTCCAGAATTTTATTATTTTTATTAAAATTACAGGTCAAAGGAAGTTTGACAAACACTGGTTAGTTGCCCACAGTTGGCTACAATTTTCTGAGTCTGAAGATCTAATGACTTGTAAAATGTGTTCAAAGCAGCAATAGCAATCAACATCAAAGGACCCTGGGGGTGAGAAAGGAGTCTCATCCTTCATCACAGAATTACCCAGATGTTATCTGAGCAGTAAAATGTCTCTTCAATAACAGATCTATGCAAAGAAGAAGTTATTTGATTTTTAATCACCTAATTGCTACTCAACTGTCCTATTAAAGTGTATAAAGCATGAGTTAAAAGTGCACAATTTTTACGCCAAAAACGGTAAATATACAAATTAATGTGAAAAACATTCGGGCAGGTAATATCTTGTCGGGGCCTGCGATATACAGATCTAAGCAGCCCAATTGGCCTGCATTGCCCTCAGAGTTTTCAGCATGTCTGCAATAAAAATACATTTAAATCGATGTAAGTACTTGAAGGTTTTGACCAAAATGCTATGCAGCATGAGCATTGGCAGTTAGATAGGTGTATTCATATATTCTGTTACATTCTTAAAAGAATGAAAATAACGAATGCTTTCTCTACTTTAAAATTATACAATTCATAATACTGAAGCTTTACATTTATCATTGAGGATGCTGTCCCTTCACAAAGCACCAACAGAACACTTGGAAAGTACAAGTCCCATCACATTACACATGATGGCATTACATCTATTAATGGGATGCTTGCTGATGAAGTAAATAAAGTTTTGTTACACAGGTAGAATATAAGAATCTCATCAATATCTAAGTAAGTAATTCTATGGTCATATGAGGCACAAACATCATTTTAATTATTCTTTTTACAGGTGTTCCATGCGAGTCTTCATGTAATGTCCAGTATTATATATAATGGAGACATGACTTATTTTTCTAAGGTCAGCCATATTCTCTTTGAAAAGGTAGCTGATTATGCCTTGAAGATAGAACTTTCAATTATTTTTAGCCACTGAACATAAATATTTCTTTTGACACATATGACATTTTTTTCTTTTCACTATGTCTTAAAGGTGATTGCACTGTCTGTTGTGTTTGGTTTTATAAACTTAACCTCAAATAATATAATGAAAACACTGAATTTTATTTTAACCCATTTTAAATGTACAGAGACCATTAAAAATGCATTAATATATATGTAATACCAGTGGTGGTTGGAAGGGTATCACGTGATACGTCAAAAGATGCGCATGCACATCTCTCATTTGATGTTTTGCTGTCGAAGAGTAAACATCAAAAGTGAGCTCCCGGCGAAGTCTTCCTGCAACGTCATTCAATAATGTGACACTTATATGGTAATAACGTAAATTTTATATAAATTACTTGCTTTTAAGACTTAATAAAGTGTTATATTGATGCCTTCATTGACTTTTCAGGGGTCAGACTCGATAGAAAAAACTTGGAAATGAACTACATGTGTATGTCACTGTAAAAAAAGAAATGTTTTTTGAAATTCTAGTATATGCGCAGGTGAATCGTAACGTTACGTCGTTATTTATCGTTTAGTCGTGTGGACGACGTCATTTAATTGCCCACTGACGTATACATACTCATCTTACTCTAAATCTTCCGTTCTGCTAATTTTAACAAATTGGGAAAGGTAGGTGTGTTTGTTTGCTTCATAATAATTCAAAACGAATTAAATTTAACTTCAGAAATATGCCATAAAAAGAAGGAAAAAGAATATACCCCATAGATACACCAAATATATATTTCATCTCAAGACAGTTTCAATACACCGGTACACCTGCAGCTCAGCAATAGATCAGTGTCACATATTTTCTATGTATTAATTATTTTCAGACATATGTTATGCATTTGTAAAACAGAAGAAGGAGGTGATGAGGAAATGACTGTTTTAGAAGTTTTTCCACATTTACCACAGGAATTATGGCAGTATGTTAATTTAGATTTAGTAACTGGTTGCAGAATTGACAAGATTTCCTTTAGGTTGTGGAAAGTGCCAGGTTTTTATGTTAAGTTATTTGTTACTAAAAAAGGAGCTTGGCCTATCCAAGTGATAAGAAAAAGTAAACATGTTCAACAATAAACTGATATTTTCTTAATAGTGTTGAATCCATGCACTCATTGCATTTAAGTAATTTTTTATGTTGCTGATACAGAATTAATATATTTAATAAGAATTTTCTTAATCAACAAACTGTTACTTCAAGCATGACAGTTCCATAACTCTTATATCTGTATTTCATCTGTATTTGATCACTATGAACCTTTCCTGTAAATTTGAAGATGTTCTACTCTGAAATACAAAGGAATTGCAATAAAAATTGAAAAGATTAATATTATGGAAATTCCTTACTGTAATACTGATCATTTGTAATATCAAACAGATAGACAATCAGGCACAGGGATCCGCACAGGTGGTAGCTCTTCTGTGGCATGGTGGAATCTTGCTCTCACAGACTGCCCACCTCTAGGGACGTAGGTTGCCCTACCTGCCACAAATATACCTGGGTTTCCCCTTCTACCTCCCTTCAATTTTTTGAACCCGTCACTTTGAGCAGGTTTATTAAATGAAGGGAGATGTTCACTTATCCCATAAACACAGTGTCCTGTATAATAATGGAATTTTTCTCCATTGTCTAGCTTTTTGAAGAACTCCTGAATGATTTTTCTGAATATGCAAAGGAATAGACATATTAATAATGTTATCGGAAAGAAATGTCATTATTAATATGCAAAGGAATAGACATATTAATAGTGTTATCAGAAAGTAATGTCATCTTTCATGCGTAAATTATCTCTACCGGGTATTATATTTTAAAAATACTAATTTACTTCTCCAAGATAGAATCCTTCAACTGATGAAATGTGGAGATGGTGACGGGTTTGTAGAACAAACATTACAGTATTGTAAATGCACCGGATGTGCGCAGAGTGGTAATGTGCATTTATTATATGGACAATGCTATGAACGATTGAACGGAACAGGTGGACACACGTTATGAACTACATGGGGCGTAAAAAGTAAGCATTAATCCATTACTTATTTGTAAGATTCTTCTTAATTATATACTACATTTACAATTCATTTAGTTAATCTTGTTTATTTATTTATATTTTTTGTAGTTTTGGACAGTATCTGTAAGCTACACCGTTCATGGACGAGTAACCAAAGCGCTCCACATTCACTATAATAAACTTTGATCATCATATCTACAAAACAGCGTTTGTTTTGCAGTAACAAGTATAAAAGGACAAATGTAGATTAAATTAGATACATGTATCTTGAATTATATTTATAATGACTATATTTTTTCTAACTTGACTAAAGACAGATTTTGGAGTAAAAATTTCCTCTACAATCCTCTAAGAGAAGGGACATCATCTTGCCTGCTGATGTTATATATAAATAATACATATATAACCCATATTGTAAAAGGCTAACATCCTACACCAACTCATCGTTTGATTTTATATTGCATTCTCAGATAACAGAAAATATAGGGGGGCATAAATACACTGTTAGGAAATGGATGGCTGAATGACGGACATATTTTAGCAGCGCAAAGACTTATCAAATTGGAATTTCCTTTGTTGGGGGGGCTTTTAGATACACTCCTCTTAGACTCTGGTTTGGAAACTGGTGAGTTGGAGCAGGGACATAATCCAACAGCTGGATGTTGGCCACCCACTTTACTTCCCTGCTGTTCTAACAGCGAAGTTGGCCCGCAATGTTAAAGTGATCAGCCTCCTGCGAGAGAGGGGCCTAAGAAACAGCAGCTCACAAATACAAAAGAAGCTTCGTGTACAACACACAGACACCTGGCTTAGTAAGGTTGTCCAGTATGGCGCAGACTGCGATGCCTTCCACAAAGCTTCCCAGACAGGTCTCATTACCCCTCCAGTGTTTGTTCTGCCTCCGCCCAGAGAGCATGAGCCCCAACCAAGATGACTGATCAGTGATGCATCCATATGCCATTGATGTCATGGACTGGCTTCCTGAACTGAAAGCAGTGCTGACAAGTCAGTTTGGAAATATTTTAAAGCTTGACTCAACTAAAATGGTCGTCAAGAAATTAGCTGGTGCGGCAACCAAGACCGCCTATATGTGGTGCACAAATGTAGGAAATGAGCACAGTCAAGTCCTGAACTTTGTAATGACTGCAGGTGAGGGCCACGGCTTGACCAAAATGGTGCAGAGGCTGGTTGCTAGGTACAGGGATGCAGGAGAACCCCCTCCAACTTTGGTATATGTGGATAGAGACTGTTGTAGTAAAACATACCTGAAGAAGATTTTTCACGGTTGGGAAGATATAGTCATCAGGCTGGACATCTGGCATTTTATGAGGCGCCTATCTACTGGCTGAACCACTGATTCCCACCCTCTATATGGTGTCTTCATATCCACCCTCAGCAAGTACATCTTCACCTGAGACAGAGACAACCTCCAGCTCTTACTTGATGCCAAGGCAAATGAACTGCATCCATCAACTGACAGAGATGAAAATATGAAACGACTGACTTGGAAAGAGCTTGCTTTGCATTGCAGACGTACCACCAGGGGTGAGAAAGAAACATTAAATCTAATTAACCAGCTGCTGGTTGCCTACAGTGATCCTGCAGGACGGGACACACTTGGTTAAACACAGAAAAAATTACGGAAATGTGGGAAAGCCAAAAGAAACATGTGAAATGTCTCATGTACAAGAACAGGTACAAGAACAGTCTAGACTCTTGGTAAGAACAGATATTTTTCATTTTTTCCAGTTCCTTACAGTTACTGTACATGATGTTTTCCTTGATATCATCTGATGAAGTCTCTATCCACTAAACAGGATTTATAATTTTAGTTAGCTTGATCACAAAGTGTCCACTTTATTTACCATTTTTCCATTACGGATGAAGAGCATGAAAAAGAAGAGAAACAAAAGTCTAGTCTCTTGGTAAAAATATATTAATATGACTTCACCATTTTACTGAACTATAAATGTTTTCCTAAAATATCTTTTCAAAGTCTTTTGGTTAATAAATGCAACATTATGTGGTTGTGTCCCACTAGATAGAATTTGAAATATGATATTTAGCTTGATAACAAAGTGTTTACTTAAATCCTTCAGTTTCCCATTCCTGAGGAAGAGGCAGAGCATGAAATAGGAAAGAAGACACAGTCTAGTCTCTTGTTATGTTTAGATAATTATAAGTTTTACTTTTGCATACTGTAATGTACTGTTCTATTTGTTTTCATTAAAAGTCTATAAGTTACAGTAATGTATTGTTCTATTTGTTTTCATTAAAAGTCTATAAGTTACAGTAATGTACTGTTCTATTTGTTTTCATTAAAAGTCTATAAGTTTGTAATGCAACATGATGACCTGCCTGCCAGGCCCCTGAAAGGTGAACGAGGGTTAATAATAATCACCACTGTGTTGTACTGATTTGATCCAACAAGCCAAATCTATGAGAGGAAGATGCTTTTTTATTTTTGAAAATTAGCCTACAAGTGCTTATTTGTGCACAAACTTATAACAGTTAAAGTTCATCACATTTCAGTTAATTTTGGCCAGAAAATGGCAACATAATCAGTCAACTTCATGCTAGTACTTATGGTTTTTATTTGATTCAATTATTTCAAACAAGTAGCTAAATATTAAAAGCTTTACACTTTCAACACTGAAATATGAAGATTTTTTCCCTTTTTATTAGTTCATGCAATATGGATCAGCGTGACATATGTATGTCTCTGTCCATCTTAATTGTGACTGTGGGCATTTCATATATAACATCAGTACCTAAAATTACCAAAAAGAAAGCATGTTTTGCTGTTTGACGCCTGTATATTTGCAAGTTTTGCCACACAGTTTCATTAATATAATTACAAAAACTAGTTATTATTTTTATAATAATGACATTTATTTTTTCCATTTGATAGAAAGCCACAGTTGCTGGGATAGGAGGTATTAACATGAGTGATCACACTAAAAAGGCCATGCAAAGGTAGGACAAATACTAATATGTATGCATTTACTTCATTTTTTCCTGTGTTTAATGTGTGAAATACATTTCATTATCTGAAACCTAGAACTCGGATATAAGTTATGATCAAACCTTTATGGAATGATAACTAATACTTTTACACTTGACACATTTCTGTTCATGTTAGTAAATTAATTACATTACAAAGTCAAACCTACATGTGTATAGCTACGTTATACTGGTTTGTTTGGCAGTATAAACCTTTTTATCAGAATTTTAAAAATAAGTGCAGGTTATTATTCCAATTTTTTGGACTTTTTTTGATCAAACCAAGACATTTCTGATTTTATTCAATATATCCTTTATTTTATAAATATTATTTGTAGGTGTATGACCAACAGTCATGGCTTGGATGAATTTTTCAGGGAAGAAAAATAAATTTCCATTTGGGCACAGCAACTTCTTTAAGGTGATCAAAGGTAATTAAATTAATGTTGCATTGTGTTTTACATTTACTGCTGTAATTTGTGCCTGATTTGATTTTTGTAATAAACTTATCAGCTATCTATCAGCTCCAGTTTGGGCAGCTAAGCCTAAAAAAATAGTTCTTACATTTTGCACACTAGTTGGAATTTAACACCTAATCTTAACCTCATTCTTAGAATCCCTCAATGAACTATGATAGGCACGCCTGCCAGCGTACATTCGATACATATATGCTTACATTTCTACTTCACTTTTTTTTCCAGATGTCATGATGTCAAGTTATAGCTCTACAGAGAAGGAAGTCACCGACAGCATCGTTAACTATCTAAAATGGGCACCAGAAAGAAAAGATGGGAGGTGGAAGAAAGTAACAATTAGGAACTTGAACTATTATTTTGGCCTTGTGCTGGACATTGCTACAATACTTACAGTTATATCTCTAAACTGTGGAGTTCATCAGATTGCACTCATATCTGTCGTGTGTATATGAACCTCATCTTCTACGTCTTGTTGCACAAAAATCGACAAAGATTTATCAAAGCAACCACAACAGCCATTTCTATCTCTCTAACTTAACTGCACATGCGTCAAGGTGTATGAACCTTCTCCGAGCGCAGCCAGTAACTAGCTCCCTCTACAATTTGGTTCTGTTGTCATATGTACTGTATAGTGTTTTGACAATATATGTTGCTTGACTTTTAAGTGTGTGTCCACGAGAAAACCAAACCAAATGTAGAAAATGCGGCAAGGTGGGGGTGAACGGATTTACATCATATTTGGTGTATTTGAACCTTTATATGAACAATATCTGAGGCTGCAATATTTCCTGAAAAAAATCCCTACTTACAGAGATATGGCCAGTGACAATTTGGGGGGGTTTATCAACCAAAAATTCTTCTGAAAAACAGGGTTATATTGATTGGCCTTAAAGTTTATACTGGTGTCACCAAATGATTTAGTTTGGTGATATATTATAACCTAAAGATAGGGNAACATTAATGAATGAAACTTTTGAAGATCATACCACTTCTGTCACTTTTTCCATTAAGACCTCTTCTGGAGACTTTTGCCTAAAATAAAATATGTATGGAAAAAAATTAAATCAAATTTATAAATTGGAAACAATCAAATTATATCAACATATAAGATTTAACACTGGGATGTGCATATTAACAAGCTTAACACTCAAATCATCCATCAAAATACAGTCTGCTTAACAAATGCCACCAACACTACAGTTTACATAAATGGAGTTTCAATAATGGGTTTCCTAATAAAATCATTTTTCAATATATGTACCTTGAAGTGCTGGGCTGTGCAGTTGTGGTTGCTGCTAAAAAAGGGCCCGGTCCAATGGCTGATGAAGTTCCTTGACATGACACAGGTGTTATAGCTATTTGCTGAACTAGGCCCTGTGGCTTTGGTATAGAATAGAGCAATGGCAGTGCCTGGGATGATGTAGAGGGAAAAGACAGTAATACATTTGAATAATCTTGTCCTTGGACTGGTGCAGCCTGAGGTGTCTTGAGTTGCCTTTTAGGTAACTGTAATTGATTAATTAGATGTGAATCTTGGAGTGTCGTTGCCCATCTTTGAGCTAGGATCTGCTGATCTGTGTTAGCTGTGTTTGGAGCAATTCTTTTTGCAGGATCCGGAACTATTTTACCTGAAGGAGTGTTACTATGCAAGAGACTGTTTGCTGGAACCTGCTTGTTTTGGTTAGCTGACTGTGGCAATATTTTTCTCAAAGGACTCTGAACTAGAGAGACTGCAGGGATTTGAGTCATATTTTGTGCATGATGCTGTATTGGAAGTTGCCTGTTCTGAAGAGTCAGATTTGGCAATAAATTTTTCATAGAAACCTCAGCTGGTTGGGCTGAGGGTGTATGAAACATATTTTGTGGATGACCTTGTGTTGAGAGTTTCTTTCTCTGGGCAGTGGGATTTGGTGACATTTTTTTCAGATGATACTTAGCTGGTTGGGCTGCAGGAGTATGAGTCACACTTTGTGATGCAAGCTGCTTACTTTGAGCATTCGGATTCAGAGACATTCTTTTCAGAGGGTATTTGACTGGTTGGGGTGTAGAAGTATGGGCCATGCCATGTGCTTGCCTTTGTACCAAAGGTTGCTCATTTTGGAGAGTTGACTTTGGTGAAGTTTTTCTTAGAGTATCCTGAACTGTCTGCACTGCAGGAGTAAGAATGTTATTAGGGGCTGAAGAAACTGTTTTAACAGTGATCTCACAAGTGCCACTTAAAGGCTTATCACTAACTTGAGCACCAATTGATGTGGAAGTAACTGTAGAGTTACAAGAAGTTGTAGTAGCATTGTGCGACTTTTCTGTGGCAGAGTGACCAGCCTCTGCTGCGAAGTTTTGATTAGCAACTGTCTTTTCTACAACTACATTATACTTTCCATTTCTCACACTGGTCCCAACAGATCCATCAGTAACATCCACATTTCTCTCCACTGGTGAGTTTACTGGATCAGCTGCTGCTTTGCTTTGTGCATTAATAATTAGAACATCGTCATATGTGAGGTCATCATCCCATTCTATTTCCTGTGAGTCTATTAAAATAGGATGGTCATGGTCCGTTGGGGCTGGGGTTTTACTGTGACTTGCATTCCTCAATACTTCTATGTCATCTGAAAGGGAGAAGCTTTTAATATGTGCCAAAAGTTGAAACCAGAATTGCCAGACGTTCACAGCCAGGCTATCTTAAAAAGGGGATAGAATAAGACTCCGTTCACATGGAAATTCTATTTTCTAAAAATCTATTTTCTATTCGCGGTATCTTGTAATCACGGTCCCTGTGCCCTGTATATCCCGAGAATTAATTACAGCTTTGGAAGTAACTGGCTCGCGCCGCCAGTAATTACGCCGCGGGATATTCAGGGCACAGGGACCATGATTACAAGATACTGCAAATAGAAAATAGATTTTTAGAAAATAGACTTGTCATGTGAACGGGGCCTAAGAGTTTTTGTTGAAGTCACAAAAGTGATATTGACCCAAGCCTTATCAGTTTTTTGAGGTCAGCAAAACTACATATTAACCAAAAGTCTAAGTCAATAATTGAAAAAATATCTGGTACATTCACAGACACAGTCAGGAAGTTATTACAATAACCACTTCTTTATACAAAATAAATCTACTAGAAACATACGTACCATCAGAATCCACATCAATATAATCAGTCTGTGTGGTTTCTTTAAATGTTCTCAATTCAATGAGGTCATCTATACAACGATTCAGCAGAATTCTCTCTTCACATGGCTCGTGTCTATTAGAAGGGTGCAGCACACTGGTCTCTATGGCTAATGCTGACAGCTGTGGAAACATCAGCTTCAAGTGACTCACAATATTTTGCTCTGCTGGAGTCATGGAGGGATTTTTTCTGCAATATAAAATCAACTTCATGCTGATTTACACATGTCAACATTCAGATTTTGTGTGCCATATTTTGTTGTTGTATTTTCATCTGTCTATTCAATAATCAAATGTCTGTACAGCCTCTCGTGTGTCCTTGGGCATTTTTGAGGAGATTAATTTTAAGCCGCAGAGTGATCTATACGAAGTTTAGGAAGTTTAGTACCACCTGGGTGTAATTAGAACCTTGGTGGATCTATATCTCATCATCCCTTAAAACCACATTTATTTTAACTTTCCACAACAACTGCACTCTAAATCAAAAGGACCACATGTTTACAAATAGTACAACTACAGCTCCATATTACTTCCTCACACAGTGCATGCATTTGTACATGTAGGCCAATCAAAACGACTAGATGCGAGACGCAAGTTCTACAGTACCTTGGGTGGATGAATGTTTATTTTTTACCTCATCACAATGAATTTACTTACTTTGCATTAAGCTCCTTATCTCTTGCTAACGACGAGGAAGCAGGTTTTACTACACTCATTTCTAGCGTCAGACAACACTTTCGACCTTCCCGCTTTTAAAGTGATCCTATAGGTGGCGCAGCTATCTTTGACCAAGATAGCCTGTTACCGAATTTGAATAGCAAACTGACTACGGGGGATTTCTGTGACAACACTCAGACTTGAGGCAGCAGATTTTGACATAGGCAAACTGACGTTTTTCTTTCTTTTTTCTGAAAATTGGTGCTTTTTTCTTTTTGTTTTACCTGAAGAGTAGGCCTAACTTGGGCCTATTTGAAACAACTAATTTGCCTCAGTGCTTAAAAACGATCCTTTATATTAAAGAGCTGAAATTGTCGACTGCTGCTTAGAACTTAGACGAATTAATAGTTTTATTCGTCCAAAACCTGTTCCAAACAAATGATTTCCAAAACAACAAAGTGATTCTCCAATAAAAAGGTAAAAGGCTCGGGGCTAAGTATTTGCACCAAACACTCAACAGATTTAGATTTTGGCGAAGCGCTTTCGATTCGTTTCCCTGGAGAACAATCTCAACTTCACATTATTCCATCATTAAAACCTCGATCCATGGCCTGTAAGTTTTTATTCTTTATTTTTAATATTATTTTGTTTGTAATGCAGTTCTAATCCTGTGTTTACAATACTTTCCCTGAGTTTCCTTTACCGCGCGGTAGGCCCCTACGCCTACTAATGGCAGTAAAATTGTAGATAAAAACCAGAATTTTTTTCTAGATGGTACTGTAAGAGATAATTAAATTGCTTTTATTCATATATATATATTTTCATTTTCTTGTGTATTAAACCCAAACGTTCACAGTACATAAATTAGCTGTTTTATTGTTTATTTTTGTAAATGGATCATATACTCCGTATATAGGGCCTACTACATTTTGTCAATTTGGGTTAATTAAGCGATACCCTCATAAAGCTGCCTAATTGGTAAGTACGGTCTTATATTCTTTTGCAGCTGATTCTGAAATAAATGTAGGTACATGTAGGTAGGATAATACTTTTCTCATATAAGCCCCTTACTTCACATTGGAAAACAGAAAAACTTACTGATCTCACTTGCCAGATACAGAAGCAGTAATAAATGCAGCAAGATGTTCTACTATTGCTTGGCTCAAAAACACTGTTTGAGATATAAAACGCAAGATATACCCCATATAAGCTTATTCAAATAATTCATCAAACTGATGTCTCTTTGACGCCTCCTACAACATGTTTCTCTTTGGCGTCAGAATCTTTGGTAAAGCGGTCGCCCTGTCTCGATGCTATTATTTGCAATGTTACATAAGATTGAGCCAAAAGAAGGCCATCTCCAGTCATAACATACATCAACGCATTGGGGCCGATGGCATCGAAAAGGGCGCCTGTGATCCACTGGTATACAAATCCTCCACCAGAGGCCCCTAGTAGCACAATCGCAACAGCAATGCCAGACATGTCCAGGTAGCGGTTCGCCCATGAAACACCTGACGGGAAAACTGGCGCCAAGAAAAGTCCCAACAATGCATTGAAAATCCAAAATACTATTTCGTTTTTGTAACCGAGGGCAGACAGAACTGAACCGCTGATAATGTTCATTGATATTTCTCCTATTAACATATATCTTGGGGGTACGAATTTGGCAACAACGATGGCTAGCCCTCGACCTATGGTGTAGAAAATCCAGTGCAAAGATAATGCCAATGTGGCTTGGTCGTTATTAAAAAGCAACTCGCTGTCTTTGGCAAAAGAAAACAAAAATTTGGCAACAGCACGTTCACCCCCCGTAATGTGCATATAGAACCAAAGTAATAGTGGAAACATGATCAATCCAAACATTGTATTATCTTGAGCACAAGATGCCGGATGAAAAATAGCTTTAATGTCATTCTTTTTTGGGATAGTGGCCAATTGAAATCCACGCGGAGGTGGAAGAATATAAAACAACAAAAAGACAATAGACATTAATAATGCGAGAGTTGCGGATATAGCATATGCATACTCAATTCGGGACAAGTTTGTTGCATCCAAAGTAATATTTGCAGATAAAGATGAAGTAGTGGCCTGAAATACAACGGTTTCATTGCTTTTTACATCTTCTGGAAGGAAAACGTCAGGCGACAAAAATGGTCGAGCTATTTGTGTGGAAAACAGACCGCCTATTCCCCATCCAAAATGTGTAGAGTGCATTGGTGCCGATACTTTTTCTCCCCATAAATTGAGGCAAGTTGTCATTCCGCCTAAAACAAATTAAGCACAAAACATAAAATAAATCACTTCTAGCAACCTTATTCTTCATTTTCTGGGGAAAAAAATGACAAAACTGGGAACACATCTTATTCGATGCGTTAGACTATTTTTACTTGGATTCTTGACATTGTTTTTTCTTTTGCATTCAGGTACAAAAATGTGTACAACTTGTTTCCACCAATATTCAAAGTTCAATATTTAAGTTGAAATAATAGGTGCTCAGGTTTCACATTATAAGAGCGAGTTGGTGTATATTTTTTCATAGCTCTAACACCGAACATGCTAAAGGAAAGAATTTATTTCTTCAATAGTAACAACTTGCCTGTATTCAAAACTCCTTCTGACAGCCCTTGAAAATGCATCAAAATGGCAAGAGGAATAAGTTCGTGGCACCAAGGAATGGAAACAGTAGTGACGGCATTTACGAACATTGCCACACTAAAAAGGAAGTGAATTCAATTAATATTTATGGTTCTATAATTTTATTTCAATATAAAGATTCCCTTGAATAGATTTGATAAGAGGAATTTCTTAAATTCGAACTTGTTTTCAAGATATTTAGAACGTAAGCGTATGAAGGTAAAACTATGTTTGAATAACTGATATTTAGAACATAAGCGCATGAAGATAAAATATGTGTGAACAACGCTTCGAAATGAAAAATCATGCGAGATAGCCTAAATTGCGACTTTGCAGTAGACAGTAATATAAGACAGGATATAACCACAAAAATATGGATATATTTTGTTGGCTTTTATTCGTTGGCGCACCGTACTCGCTAGTCTGCTACTATTTCTGATCCGTGTCCGGCAAAATTTTGCTTCACTTTAGGCTGAATGGCGAGACTTTGGGCTATCTCGGACGATTTCTATATCACAAACGATTAGTCTTTTCGAATAAGATTTAAGCTTTGGATGAACACGTGCAGATACATTTTACACCTGTACTGTTAATGGTGGTCATTCTGATCTAGTTTTGACAAACAGTTTACTGATACAGGCATATCAAAATGGGACAAACTTATACTGACCTTATAAATATGTCAACATGCTTTGGAAATCGATCACACAGAAATCCTCCCACAAATGAGCTGATGAAAAAACCAACACTACGTGCTATCAAGGCACGTGAAATTTCTTCATAGCTACTATCGACTTTCTTCATCAAATCTTTCAAAGTTGGACCAGGTAGCTCCAAACAGGATGCCTTTATTGGATTCATGAGATTAATAGTCTATGAAATACTCAGTTTTCTACCACAGAACATGTCAAATGAATGTTCGAGATGTTGTACATAAAAATTTGAATGAAGATTATGTAATAAAAAATGGACATTTGGGTTTAACAACTCCAAACCGCCCAGTTGCATACAAACAGTAAACCAAACCTACATCACGTTAATCATTTAAACGCACCCTATTTTTTAACGTTAAATATGAAAACTTAAGGTTTATGCTTACCATTGTAAACCATATCATTACTATGAAGACCTGCTTTGTAATGCGATAAGTAGTAACTGCACAATCTTTTTCTGTCGATATTGCCTCTCTCTTGTCGGAATCGGGTTCAGGTACTATGGCGGTCTTTTTATCTATTGGCGAATCCTCCATCTTTGTTTAGTTGCATTCACTGCTCACACACTGTCGTATGCAGAAACCGTATTTCGATTTTTAAACATATACTATTATATTATAATGTTCAAAGTTTTTGGTTTTTCTATTGAAATGTTAATATAAGTATCATGGTCGATGTTTTAATAATTGAATGTTAATTCCTACATATTAAATACACGATGGTAAAATAATCTGAATTGGAGTCAATTTTAATTGCTAAAAAACATTTATGACTTGCCTTGAGAAACCGTCCGTGCTATTTCAGTGCATGTTATACACCGATTGGAATCAGGTTATCACACAAAATTGAACAGTTTCACCAACAGGTTTATCTGTTGACCTCAGTTTAGTTTAATATAGTGTCTCGGGTCATTCATCACGGTACAGAGCGGTGTACTGTTTCCGTATGTTAGACCTGTCTCTTTGCAATAACGGTGTATTGAGAACCCATCAATTTACCCCGAACCATCTTAGTTATTGGCGATGTTTAGCCAATCATTTTTCGAGAAATATTGCATAATGTAGTATTACGATAAATTACAATGTACTTTGTCAGTCAAGAATTGTTTCGCACATAAAGTTGTAGGTCTGTAGGTCTGATTTCGAAATTCTGCAAAATTCAAATCTGGGTCATACAGATGTATTTAAATCGTGAGCAACAGAGAGCTAAAATATACAGGATTTAAATAAGTTGCTATAAACATTATTTCGTGGTACATATAATCAATAGGTAACGGACTAAAATACAATCTTGATTTTATATTCAAGGTATTTTTCTAGCCTTGAAGAATGCATTTTTTTTCTGTGTAGCTCTTTGTGGTTTGCTAACAAACCACTTTTAGCAAAAGTTGTTAATTTGTCTTCTGGCAGATAAATACATATGGCATTTTTGTTTGCGATGCCGAAGGCGTTGGTTAAATCGTGCGTTTTGTAACAGATAACACTTTATCTAGTAGCAAAAGGTGAATTTGTACAGCGGCCTTTGGTATTAAAGAGAAGAGAAGTTTCATAGAGGTCTTACTTTTAGATATAAATACTACATTGGAATTTTTAAAACTTTCTCTGCACTATATATATATATATATATATATATGAATCCAAACACGTTTGTGGCGTAACCAACAAGATAGTATACTGGACACTAACACTTTATCTCGCTATTTAACCTACCAGGCACAGTTACTCCTATTTCATGAGTGTGGAAAATTTCGATAAATTTCTTTTCGTTAGTCATTTATATATATATATTTCAACTGGCCTAATTTTATGACCGTTTTTCGGGTGCCTGGGGTCTGGGATTGAGGCAGCTGTGTCATACATGTGGTGCTTTACACTACCATCCCAGATCAAAGGAAATGTGGTAAGCCTACAGATATCCAAGAAAACCGCAAACTGCGAAAGCGCCGCATCCTGGATTTTAGGATATCCACGGGTTACGGTCTACGTCTCCGACGTACTATTAAAGGATAATATCTACCCAACAATCTACAATCGATATTTTTGTCAACGAGATAAAAATTGCGATATTTGCACATTTGTCAAACAGGTTTTAAAAGGTACCAGTCAATCAACAATCATTGCATGTCAACATACGGAATAATCTAAATAATCGCCATACCACCGGCCGGACTTAAAATATCTATTCTCCCTGTACCAGCTTTAGCACTATTAAATGCACCGTGCTGAATATGCAGGATTAAAGATTATACAGGGGTTGCCAACACCAGGGTGCAGTCACAGAGTTGATCCGGGTGGTGGAAAACTGACAGCTGGCATTTGACGGTGACCTTATTTACTTATTACTCTCGCAGAGCGGAGTCCGAGTTCCTGGATTCAAGGACTCTAGTACTTTAAAGTATTCAATTTACGTTTAAAATAATCTGTTTGATATTATTTTGATAAACACTCCTATTAACAATTAAGAAGAATATTTACCGGACCCTCCCCACCCTTTTTCGTCCAGCTTTACTCTAATTGGACTCTTTCGTTTTAGAAAAGGCCACGTCACGTCTGAAGCGGTTACTGACGTTTCTGTAATGTGACACTGGACACGCGCTGTGGCGTAGGGGTCTATGTATATATAAACTGCAAACAGACACGAAGCTTTAAAACACCACCTGTGAGGAAAAAAGTGCGACAAAAAGGTACGTATATTTTACTTGCGCCGTGATAATAACAATAGTTAGCATCATATATAACCACATAAACGAGCATAGCAAATGGTATTTAAAAAAAGTAAAGAATTAAAGATATGAAACCGGGAAATGATTTGTCCTTCTTTGCATTTTCTAAACATGTGCTTGTGAAATCGCAGTGTTGTAATTAAACCAAGGACTTTTCTTTCCAGTATGAATCTGGTTCTTATCCTAACGCTGTGTATCGCTGGTCCAACCCTGGCCTCAGCTGCTTCGTGTGTATGTGGTACTGGATATGTGAACATTCGCTCCAGTCCCGGGGTGACCTCAAAAAACAAGATTGGTCTTCTCACCCCAGACGCCTGTCTTCCTTTTACAGGAAAAACACAGTATGCTGGTAGCCATGTTTGGTTCAACGTGGATTACAATGGACAAGTAAGGCTTTTTAAACTTCTAGTCAAATTTTCGACCTTCTTGGAAAAGTTTGGTAGATTTTTCATTTTCATCAGATGATGTAAATCTATAAAATGAAATTTATTAAAAATTATTTCTTTTGCTTAAATTTTCATCAGAGTATGTTAATTTACAGATTGAAATTGATTAAAATTAATTTCTTTCACTTTATTTTTTCATCATTTGTAATTTATCTCTCTTCCTTTTTTTAAGACTAATTTTTTTTACCAAGATTTAACTTTTTTAAGGCAGATCCGTTGGGACCAAGGGGTCATATCCAATTTGCGTTAAGTCACACTTAGCGTTGTTAACGCACACAGGACACCAACAATAACCATTAAAAAAAAAAACAAGTGAATTTATACATTTTCAAGTGCATAGAAAAATTATTGTCATTATTTTGAGCAAACACTGAATTTTCCACACGGGGATTTAGTCAGTTACTTCGGAGTCGAAAAACTGTGGCGTGCTAAAATATATTAGATGGTTATTTCCTCCTATATTTCCACTTATCTGTATTGAGTAACAAACCGCATGATAAAAGCGTTATTTGTGATTACAGCCAAAGAACAAGTTCTTCGTAACCGTCCATTACTCATAGGTTGGCACGGAAGACGAAGTCATTCTCTAGATGATAAATCGCGATATTACCCAACAGCAACCACTTTTCCGCAACCTTCGAAAAAGATCCGTTACAACCTATAAAAACGAAAATCTAATTATAATGGCTAAAAATAGCTTATCCGACGACGAGGCATTGATAGTGTAGTACCCATAAGTTGTGGTACATGTAATTAAGAAAAGGACATAAAAATTTCAGAAAGTTGTTTTGGGATATAAAGTTCTAACGCTTACTGTACCATTCTTTGAATTACTTCGGTGTCAAAAAACATTCAGAGACATAAATTATCGTTGTCATTGATGTGTGTTAAGACACACATCTATGACAACGATAATTTATGCCTCTGAATGCCCACTTGTCGCTACTCATATCGCGTTCTGTAATCAGAACACATAATATATGACAACAGAACTATACCCACTCGTTGCATGACAACTGACACCAAACTGATAATTAAGTCTCTTATGGAAGTGATATTATCTCCTAGCTATAGTGAAAAATCCGGCAGACCCATACTTCGACCCGGAAATTTTGTCAACTTCAAAACTATTTAGGACCCACTGAGTAAGCGTAGTATACCATTGTTGAACTGAATAACTGGCATAGTATACGGAACGGTGAGAGGGACTGCACTGTAGATAGTGTTATGGGGACAAACACGGAAGCAATGTCAGGTACGATTTTTTTCTCGTTAATTTTTTTTAAATAAAACTGATTTCAGGACGGTTGGATTGCCAGTAACTGGTTGCGTACATCTAGCACCGGCTGCTCGGCTGGAAGTTCAGCGGGAAGTTCTTCGGGAAGTTCTTCGGGAAGTTCAGTGGGTAGGTTTTGTGTATATTAGTACACCATTAGGCCTTCTTTAAAGCCTATCCTTATCCTAGGACCCGCCACCAAACAACTGAACAGCATTGTTTCGTAGGTCCTAGCATAAACGCAGGAGTGAGATTAGAGATGACAGACTATGTATGGTGCTGTCACCTTTTGTTCCTTCACAATTCAACAAGTAATTTTGTTCCAAATTTATTATCAAGCGGTCTATGGCAAGTCGTGATACTGATGGCCCTAGTACGAGCGTGAGTGTCCGCTGGCAGACAGTGGTGGAATAAGGTGAAAGGTGAGTTGAAAATAGAAACACAAATTGCCATAGCGACACCGCGAATCGAAGAACACTGTTTGTGATTTTTTTTCTACTCCAACAATTTTTCATGCGTGAAGAGACTTTCGAATAGTCTTTAAGACTCTGGCTGCATTCAGTTGTGCATTGAACTATTGATTATTGAACTGTATACACGTAGCTCGGTGTCAGCGCACTTGTTATCATCATTCTTTGTGCCCTACATGTGTCTACCATCTTTTCCCGAGGCATGTATATATATATTTGTATTAGTGGCCCGACTTTCGGGTTGAAAGAAAATATTGAAAAACCTTCTGAGAGATGAAGCGTAATTTGAGGCGAGAGATGGTATCTCCCCAATACGTTGTAAATGTATGTGGGATAAGATAATATATAACCAACACAATGTATGCATTAGGGTCAGGTGCACTGATATAATAGAATAACAATATTGAGATGCCACTTGACTTCAAGACATAGAAGTTGACATAGATAAAGTTTTCGGAACGTTTTTTCAAGTTTTTTCGGTAATGATAGGTTTTGCCAAAAAGAACTTTCATACTTAACAATAAAGAGAAAGAGTAAATAAGAAAGAAAACAATGTGATTAGCTGCGAGTTACACTTAAATGAAAAGGTAAAATAAAAAAGACTCCGCTTTATCATTACAGGATCGGAATGTCCACGAATCATCAGTCGATCAGAGTGGGGAGCTAAACCCTCAAACAACCCATTGGTGCCACTTCCAGCCACGCCCAAATACATGTTCATTCACCACACCGCCGGCAGATTCTGTAGCACGACAGAGGCGTGCAAAGCTGAGATGAGATCCATACAGGATTTGCACATGACAGCGCCAAGACGTACGTCGCCAGTGGGGCATTTATTATTATATGCTAGAATGATAAACCTCATTTCATAGCATAAACTAGAAAAGCACTCAGAGAGCGCAGACCTCCGCTAAGGCAGCTCAGTTCTCCCTATCATACTATCTCGAACTTCTTTATTTGTTTGCGGAGACAATAATACTTCTGAGCAACAATACTTCTCTTTAAAGCATATTATTTCGTTTCTTCAAATCATAATGAAATCAGATCACCACCAAAAACTAATCACTTCTAAGTTAACCCATTTCTGACCTACCCTGAAGATTCCACCGAAATTCATCCATAACTTTTTGAGTTATGTTGATGACAAACAAACAGGGGTGGAAACATAACCTCCTTGGCGGAGGTAAAAATAATAATAGATTTTATACTTTGCTAGATCAGAAGCATGCCATCGATAGAAGCTTTTGCTTGGTGAAACTTATGAAATTAATATGCTTAAATAACCAACATGCCTCATTTTTATGGCAAAAACAAAATGGCAATGGATTAGGCATTGTTTAGATTTTCTGACAGTTACATGTACCATTAGTAAAACCCACGATGGAATAATTTGATAATGTTACAGAGGAATTGATGAACAAAACATATATTTCTAGAATGGAGCGACATTGGTTACAGTTTCTTAGTTGGAGAAGACGGGAACGTGTACGAAGGACGGGGGTGGAATAAAGTGGGAGCGCACACTTACGGGTACAACAGCGTTGGACTTGGTAAGGCCACGGTTGTTTTCTTTTATCTTTCAGGAAAAGGGGCGTGAGATAGTTGTCTTCGGTGGCTATGGTGAATAGAAGAGACCATTAATGCAACAACGCAAAAAGTTGGTCAACAAAAGATCTCTCGTTTTGTTGATTTTATTATTTTTCAGTAACAAGAAAGTTTCAACATTATAATCCAAGATGACGTCGAATATTTTAAGATGCAAACCTAAATCCGTAAATTCAATTTTTTTTTTATGATATTCTCTCTCGTGTCTTTTATTTACTTCCATTGGACTAAAATGTTTTATATAGCATAATTTCGATTGTTTTATTTATTTTTTTATTTTTATTCATTGATAATTATTATTATTTGTAAACAACAATATGTATTTAGATTTACCGTTTACATCAAGCAAACACTTAATCTTACATGTGACGTGAGGGTGGCGTGTGATTAGCTATATGCCAATCGACTTAAAATATTTTCTTACAGCAATAAGCTTTATGGGCAACTTTATGGATAGACTTCCAAACGACAAAGCCCTGAACGCAGCCAAGCAGTTGATCAGTTGCAGCGTTGCTAAAGGCGAATTGGAGAGCAATTACATTCTAAAGGGCCACAGAGACATGAAAGCGACAGCTTGCCCGGGAGATACGTTGTATGAGCTCATCACCAAATGGCCCCACTACGTGCCTAACTAAAACTTAAGGGTTTTTATTTGCACCTTTGACATTTGCTGCAGTGTTTCCATAGTGGTAAAGATTTTGCTTCAATTGATATTACTCTGTAGACGTGAGATGAGGAAATAAAATACAATGTTTTGCGTAGCCCGTTCTGTCTCAACCAACACAATCTTCTCAAGAAATGGGTGGAAATCTCAGCTTTCAAGCTCAACTAACACATTTGTAAAATTCCACGCGATCAGCTGGCACCACACGATTGAACTTTTCATACCACTCGACACAAGGGACGATAAGCTGCTCAAAGACAAATTTGAAAAAAAAAAAATGCGCTCTCAATGTTATTTAATCGCATAATCCTAGTAAGGCATTTGAAAACAGTTGCATAGTGGCAGTTTCTCAAATGTCATCATAAACATTTGTGCAATAAAAATTGACCAGCCTCATCACAACCAAGCGGTCATAAACTGAATAATTACATTCACGCTTCTTGGTATGAAAAATGTAATGCATCACTGTCATAAGGTGGTCAATTCAACAAAACTCTAGTTTTGAAATCCTTTATATGGGTAAAGTTGTACTTTACCGCCCAATAACAGTATCCCACAAAAAAATCAAATTAAAACGATTACGATAGTCAAATCGGTAAGTCAGGTAAAACTTGAAAAAAGTTTAACAGCAAAAAATTTTTAAATTTTCAATTTGACAATTTCTGCAGTCCAACAGGCATTTTCCTTGCCATAGATGTAGCCCAACAGGGCACGGAAAATTTTTTCTTCAAAAAATATACCAAGAAAATAAAAAACAGATATCATCAATTCGTAAGTAAAGTGTGTTTTTATTGTATTACTGCAAACACATCTGTACACAAATGAGAGAAAAACAACATCCAGAAGTTCCATTTACTGACAACTTGGCCATCAAAGTGACATGATCTTAGTTTGCTAGTTCACTTGGTCCCAGTTCAGGAAATTTTCCATTTCGTTTGCAGCTTCTCAACTTGAAGCTTTTCAATATATACCCCTATGCAGTTTGCATATTTGGTACTATCTGTCTGAATAAGAATTCATGCACTGAGTCAGTGTAACTGCTGCTCATCTCAAAGGACCACAATCTGGATAGGATCCACTCTGTCCAATAACTTCTGGTTGTTATTCTTCAAAAGCAGAAAGGCCAATCTACTTAGATCTGCAAATGAAAAGTGCAACATGATGAAATGATTGCTGTAAATACGTCAATTATGAAACACATCAGTAGGTTTTAATGCAAGTAATTAATTAATTGTCCTTTTTGTATGCCTGCTTAAAATCTAAATTACAATCAACTAAAAATATCTTCAATACAAGTTTTCTCTTTAAATGAAAAATTTCCAGTCATAGGGAAAATGTACATCTGGATAGTCATGGCTGCTAGAAATCCCAGAGGACCTGCAGGAATTTTGACACCACAGGTCCTTTGGACTGGCAAGGTTCAGGACAAATACAATACATATTAAATCACATGTTAACATGGGCCGATGGATATAAAATACTTTGTTTGGACCAGCACAGAATTGGATCTGCAGATTTCTTGTAGTGCAGATCCTCCAAACCTTCAATACCTCCAAAGTTTTCCCCATGTCTGAGTTTCTCTCCCCTTGAAAGACAAACTAGTCAACACATTAAGGTTATGTGCTGCTATATAATTAGTAATCAATAAGGTATAATGCTCATACCTGGCTCTCATCTTCCTTCTCTTTCTTTTGAGCCTTCTCATGCGCTTTTTCCTCCACTGTAAACAGAAATAAATCACTCTTGAAGCTGAAGGTGTATAAACAGCAGTCCTTCTAATTACTGGAATCAAGTCTTAACTTATTGGAATCAACAATAAAATGTACATGTTACTTCCATAAGCTTATTTCACAATTTTATGTCTTCTGGATTCATGTTATGCTTGCCATACTACAGAAAATATTTTGTACTACTTCAGAATCAAAATAGTAGTTGAAATCAGTGGCCTCTCAAAGTAAGGCAGCAACCAATTTCTTTTATCCGATATCGCCCTTTTGGCAGTAGCACTTTTCAAAGAACTTTCCAGACAGACAGAATCCAATGTATAATGTACATAATTTCAGTACTTGATTCTGGTTGATTCCCGTCAATCAATGGATTCCAGTAATAAGTAGAACCCCATGAACGGCGCATCGCTCTGCTGATACTGCCATAGATTTTATATAGGACAAGTGATAGAAAACATTTAAACAGGAAATACTGATCAAATGCTTTCACATGTAACTTAGATAAAATCAAGTGAATCAGTATTTACATTTCGCAACGTTACTAACTACAATGTTCTTGACAAAAGGGGATAAGTACAACATTTGATCAGATTCGTGATTAAATCATATAGGCTACAAATTTAAGTCACTGTTAAACCATATGTTTAACGACAAAACTGAACAGTCTGGAGGTTGTCACTTAAAAGCACTTGTCTGACAAATCATTATAAGAATACGACCAATACCCACACGTTTAACACAGTAGGCCAGATTCAATTTCTACTTACCTTGGCCCTCATCTTGTATCAGATGGATCTGAAAAAACAAATAAAGAGTGAATTAAGTCATCGATGTAATTTCAAGAAGAGATGCACACCAATTTAGGTAGATTTTGACAGATTCTTATGCCCAGTCTCTGGTACGGACCTCACCTGGTAAAAGATGGCGGTTAAAGAGGCCGTCACCTTGACCTATTTCAACTGACCTCTGAAAATTAGTTGTGCATTTTAGAGTTTTAAACATTTCAAAGATGCTTAAAAATACTACTTATGGTTCTTTCTTTGTTTTTATATCAAATTTGATTTATTTTCATTTGGCACTGCATAAGTTTGAAGAGTAAAGAAATAATGAAATCGAGGCCAAACTTAGCTCAGTATGGAAGGCAACAGCACCGAAACTCGGCCCCAAGCGGCAAACGGTGCGTCGACAAATGGCAGTTCAACAGATAAGCAGACGCTATATGCAGTGCTGCAGTACCTTCGCAAGAACAATCTGAAGGTGATCTCTCTCTCTCTCTCTCTTACTCTCTCTTTCTCTCTCTCACAAACACACACACACACACACACTCACAGGACTACTATTTGACTAAGTTTCTCATGCGCTCTCTCCTACCCGTCTATTTCATACCAGTATTGGTCTCTTTAGACGTATATGGACAGATACAGATACAGAAAGTTGAGTTACTTGAACTTGTTTTCTGACTTAAAGGTTCATTAATCACAATATAAAATTTAACTTGAGATTAAAAGACAACATATAAAAATTACAAAAACTTAAATTATTATTTTAACTGTATTAAAACGAATTTTATAGTTTATATTTGAAATGAAAAATGTATTAAAAGATACCCTCATACATTTTCCTAGGAAACTGAAACTCTGTTAAAGAAAGAGGCAAATATCCAAGATGATGATGTTCCCAAAGAACAGCAGTCACAAAATGCTTCGGAAGTTTCACAGGCCCTGGCTGCATACAAGAGGTAATTTGTTTTGCACATGTTGCATGCTATTACTATTACCAGTGCATGTTACATGTTATATAGCATTTTAGGATTACTATTACCAGCACATACTTCATGTTAGATAGCATTGTAGCATACAAGAGAAAAATGATTATACAGCACTTGAAAATATAACTGATTATACTGTTATATTGATGTGTTGTATTTTGGTAAATTTTCAGTGAAGGAGACCCATCCCTCTATGAGGATTTCTATACAAATTTAAAGAACTTTGTAGAACAATCATTGGATACATACAAGGTGAGGACTTTCATTAAATTACATGCAATTTCCACATAAAGAATGTCATTTTACTATAGTAATAGCTAAGTAGCTGTATCATGGATTATTTCTAAAGTAAAATTGAAACTATCATAACTTAAACTACACTTATACTTATAAGTATCACCAGACTAAAATATGACATGAATCAGATGTATACCCTCTGACGTAGGATTTTTAATCTGATCATGTATAGCAATCGAGGCAACTTGTATCATTATTTACTATCAGTTAGTGGCAACAAATGGTCAAAGAGAGTCCATTTGTGAACATGCTTTTAGTAATCAAAATGCCCATTATGGAATTTGCCTCATGTTTTCCTATACAAGTATGGGCTTAAGATTTTTTCTTATCTTCTCACAGGGTGAACTGGCTGCACTGCTATACCCAGTGTTTGTACAGATGTATCTGGAATTGATATATAATGGGCATGAAGTAGCAGGTAAGACAAGTAATAATGTCTTTTGGCGTTTTATACCATTTAAAACCTGCAACCTAAAGGCTGACCTGATTAAAGATTTTTTAATTGTGATTTAAAGCCTTGAGAATTGTATGTGTATAAGTCAGTGTTTTGAGTAAAAACCATGTGATATTATTAAATTAAAGGATTCATAATAACCAAATCACAGAGATGTTTTGTTTGTTTCTTTCTAGGCCAAATATTTTTCATAAAATTCTCTCAAGAACAAGAAAGCTATTATGAAGATGATCTCATCAAGTTGTCAACAGTCTCTAAAAAAGAGCATATGCAGGGAAACCAGCTCATGGAAAGCTTCAGGTAAAAGTTTGGCTCTGTGTGTGTGTGTGTGTGTGTGTGTGTGTGTGTGTGTGTGTGTGTGTGTGTGTGTGTGTGTGTGTGTGTGTGTGCGCGACGCGCGCAACTGCCTGCCNTTATTTAATTATTAGGCTAGATTTTATATCTTAGACATATTGTAAACATCAGGAGTTTTTGCCAACTGGAGGATCTCTGATTTTCAAAGTTCAAGAATCGCTGAATTGTTGCTTACACTATTGATATTGGTGAAATAGACAATTTTTTTTAATTTGTTAAAGTGACAGTTGTTAGGAGCTTTGCTTCTACAGTTTAAGCCAGTTTTTATAAAAGCAGAAAAGCACAGGACAGTTTTTATAAAATTATAATACGATTTTTACAGAACTAGCAGATTTGTCATCAGAATGTCAAGGGAGTCCTACACACAACTAAAAAGGTACCTCCAAGAGAAGAAACAAGCGCTTTTATTAAATATCATACAAGAACGCCTATTTATTGATGGTAAGTTAGATGATGTACAATATTTTTTAACATATTACTTTCCTCATCTATATTTTGGTTCAGATTCTTTAAATTCCCTAGTTTCAGGGAGGTATTTTAGTTGTATAAGTTCTCACTCATCATTGACAATGTGACTGCCTTTAAAAAAGGGCAATGTAATTGCATATTATTTAATTGAGTGTTATAAAATACCAAAAGTCCTGTAGGCAGAAAATATGAAAAACAAACCATATATATATATGATTGGTGTGTATAGGTAATGATATCTTTAGGAACATATGGGTTTGTAGAACTTTACAGGTGCAAGTATAGCCATATCTGACATATGCAGTTGTATATTTTGGGTCATATTGAATATACTTGTATATGTTAGTGTATGATGGTTTACCAAGAACCAAGCAGCAGATAGATGTCACATCTGGAGGGATGTCTGGGGAAGCCAGGAGAGAAGGTGAGTCCATCACAGTATTTGCTTTCTAGGTTTAAATTATCTCATTTTGTATCCGATGGCTAAAAAAATATAAGAATTTTCTGTGCAGTGATATCTTTTGACAAGTAAATTTTGAATTTCAAATAGCAAAATGTTTGAAATATGGTATTTAATAACTTAATACTGTTATGTAGAATTTTTTTTCCCACTTCATTCTTAGATTTACACGAAATTTATGATAATTGGCATTGGTGGTACAGGTGATTTATACAAAAACAGATATTGTGTTTTAGTGAGTAGGTATATTATGGGCAGGAATGTTTTTTATTTATTATTTTCCCCTCTCGTGGAACTTAAATTTGTGATTAAAAATTGGTATTTATTGCCACAGCCAACAAGTCCAAGGTTCTGTATGGGCTTCTGAAGGAACCTGATATAAACATATCCTTGGATGATGATGATGATGCAGATGGAGAGGATAAAGATAAACCTAAGGTGAGCATTTTTATTTAATTTAATTATTGTTTATTGTTTATTTATTTATTTATTTATTTTTATTTTTTTTGCAAAACTCAGTTTGTCACCTTTTAAAGAAATATTTTAATATTTAAACAAATGTCTACCATCTGCTTAACTTTCATTTGTAGAAAAAGAAACAAAAGAAAGATCTGCTGTCCATGAAGAAATCAAAAAATGACCCAAATGCTCCCAGTAACACAAGGATACCCCTTCCTGAACTGTAAGAAAATGTTCAACATATAAATTGGTTTTGTTGGCAAAGCAATAAAACAAGTATCATGCACATTAACATATTGAAAGCTTTTTATTGTGATATAAACTCATCTGGAAAGTTTTTATTTGGTACCTAGTGTCTTGCTGCCTTTGATACATTGAGTGAATGAAGATATTAGGATCACTACATATTGCAAAATTGAATAATAAGAATTGAAATAGATTTTGTTTATTATTTTTGCAGCAAAGACACAGACAAAATAGAAAAAGGCAATGCATACTAGAATTAGATTTTGTTTCTTATTTTTGCAGCAAAGACACAGACAAAATAGAAAAAGCCAATGCATACAAGGAAGCCTTGAAGAGAGTTAAAATAACACAAGAGAATAAACCATCTATTTGTTTTTACACTTTGTTGAATTCTTATGAAAAGTAAGATTGTGTTCTGTTTATGTTTAAATACTTTGAATGTATGTTAAGACAAATGGGTACTTACTATATTGATGAAGTAGAAAAAAGTCTTTGATCATCTGAGAAAGTAGAGTCAACAGCTGTGGTGTACTGAAAAAGTAGAGTCACTGTAAATTCTTTGACATGGAAATTAATCCGATATTTTTTTACTTTATCAAGTAATATGGCGCTATGTCAGTGGTTGTTACTGTAGAACTGCACTATTATTTCAGCACAACATCAATAGAAATTAGTGAAGACTCCAGCATTCTCAGTGCAGGTTTCAGTGATGCTGTGATCAAAGTTTGGTCAACAACCCCCAATAAGTTGCGGTGTATGAAGACTGGTGTGGAATTGGATATGATTGACAAGGATGTTGGTAAGTTAGAATTTCCAGTTGTGATTATGTGAATGACTTATGTGTAAACTATTTTTTTACATAGCGTATTTAATTAAAATAAGATTATTTTTTCTTCTCTCTCTGATTGATAGTTCTTTAACAATTTTATTCATATTTCAGATGATGTATTAGAAAGAATGATGGATGATAGAACAGCCTCAGAATACAAGACTCTATGTGGCCACAGTGGGCCAGTTTATTCCACCAGTCTCAGCATGGATAAAAACTTTCTTGTCTCAAGTTCAGAGGATGGAACAGGTTTGAAGAATCAGTGTGTGTGTGTGTGTGTGTGTGTGTGTGCGTGCGTGTGCGTGCACGTGCATCTGCCTGCCTTTGTGATTTATTTTTCCTCTTGAGAGTGTTTTTATGTATTTATGCATATGTTGGAATCTTTATATCTGCTTGCACTGTTTAATATGAAATTAAAGACTACATTAAATATATATTTGTTCAGATTATCTCATCTTTTGTAATGTCCATTGTCTATATCTGCCATAGCTTTGCTGTTTATTTCATGTCTTTTATTGTATTTAGTAAGACTGTGGAGCCTATTGACATGGAGTAATTTAGTATGCTATAAAGGACACATTTCTCCAGTGTGGGATGTGACATTTAGGTAGGCAAAAGCACCGAATGAAAAAAAACGGTAATGTAAACTTAAGGTATATCTTCTAAACCTTGATTTACAGCATTTACAATTTGGACAATTCATTGTTTCAGTTGAGGAGCTGGTGATTCATGCTGTACAAAGTAAAAAAAAAATTCTTGAATAGAATACCCCCCCCCCCCCCAAAAAAAAAAAAAAAAAGAAAAAAAAAAAAGAAGAAAGAAAAAGAAAGAAAGAAAGAAAAAAAATTAAGAGAAAAAAAATTATTTCATTTTACACATTTTGTATGTAACTTATTCATTTCCAGTCCACATGGTCACTACTTTGCCTCTGCCAGTCATGATAGAACAGCACGGCTGTGGGCCACAGATCATTATCAGCCTCTTAGGATCTTTGCAGGCCATTTGTCAGATGTAGATGTAAGTGAGATGAAATTGTTTGCCATTACTAGTTGCTTGGCATTTTAAAAATGGCTGTTCTATTTTTGGCATGTGTGTTAACTCTAAGGAGACTATGGTAACAATTATAGACAGTCTTCTTGGTCTTTCAAAAGAAAGTTATGATTTTCTTGAAATGTAATTCACATAAATCTTTGATTAAGAATTGACTTTGTCAGCCAGGACAGCTGCTTCCATCCTTGTTAAAGCAGTATGTGCTTTTTAATCACATTTTATTGCAAAAAAGTAACTGGCATCCACCTGAGTTGGCACCCTAATGCAGTCACTAATGACCACATGACATATTTCAGAGTATACAGTTTCACCCTAACAGTAATTACATTGCCACAGGATCCAGTGATCGCACTGTAAGACTGTGGGATGTTCTAGGGGGCAATTGTGTAAGAATACTCACGGGACACAAGGTGAGGCTTTATTTTCTATCAAAGTGAATTGAGGTGTGGGTTTTCTGGAGGAATTTATTGTTTAATTTCATATGAATGGTTTGCTGCAGTGATGAACCATCTTATAAGTCTTTGAAACTAATTACATAACCAGTTTATGCTTTAATAATTGAAAGAAGGATGTGTTTAAAATGTCATTATTGTTGTATTTTATTTTCAGGGTGCTATTCACTGTTTGCGGTTTTCACCTGATGGAAGATATCTAGCTTCAGCAGGTATGATCATCAATCACAAATTAGATATTCTGAACAAAGACAGACCTTGCTTAAAAATAAATTCCTCATACAAATACAAACCATTTACCATCACAGTGAAAAACCACTTGATGAAAAAATTAAAAATAATAATCTGAAATGAAGGCACAAATTAAAGAATGTTTCTTTTTTAGGTGTAGATAAAACAATTTTATTGTGGGATCTGGCTAATGGGACCTTAGTAGGCCAGTTGAAGGGTCATACTGGCACTATCTACTCATTGAGTTTCAGTAGAGATGGTTCAGTTTTAGCCTCGGGTAAGGTCGTGTTGAAATTCAAACCAGTTTTAACTAGTCTTTATACATTGAAAAAGGTTACCTTGTTATCTTCAACTACTCATTTTTAGCTTTCATAACTCTGGGACATTTTGTGAGCAAACTTACCAATAGCTGCCTCCTTTTTACGAATCTTTTTGTCAAAAAATGTTCTTTTTTTCTGCTGGATAGGTGGCATGGATAACTGTGTGAAACTATGGCAAGTTTCGAAAGTCTTCAATAGTCAGGACAGTGAAGGGGATCTAAATGTTCCAGCAAATGTAGACTTGTGAGTTTGAAGTGTTTAAGCTATATTGTGTTATTGTACAAATTGATTTTGAATGTGTTGAAGGAGTTGCCTTCATATATACTGTAAGCGAATAACCTGCTGTGATATAAATACAATATAAGAGTAAAATCAAACTAGTAGATCATTATGCTTTAGATGTTGCATTTGCCTATACATTATTTATGTCATTATTTATGCAGAGTAATTTTAATATTTCAGAAATGAGAATTATGAATTTGGATCATATCAAACAAAGGCAACACCAGTGCTGTGTACGCATTTCACAAGAAGAAATTTGTTGTTAGCTAGTGGGCCATATACTCCCTCATGACAAAGGCCACTACTACTCTCAGATTGCACAGATTTTGGTGCATTTGAACAGACATCGGTCCCACTCCTGGCAGGAGTGACCCATATTATAAACATCTTATCTGTGTTGAACCACATTCTAGGAGCACTGGGTGCCTTGCACAGACTACTACAGTGGTTTAATAGGACAGATAAGGGGGGAGACACTATGATAAACAAAGACCAAATGAGTCCCATAATTCTGGGATTATTTTTCTTTAAAAAAATTATGTATTACAGCAGATTAATTTTTGTACCAGGAGTGCTTTCTTTTGTATGTTTTGTATATCAGGTACCATAAAATTGAGTAAAAAAATGTAATGGGGTTTACTTTGAATCTATGAAATTCTGTCAACAGAATCTAATTACATATTTTTATATGCAAAGGTAAGCTCAAGTACAGCAACAGTAAAAAAAATTCGAGGAAAACGGATTTTGTTTTCAATTAATGAAATCATCCAGAGTTAGCTGTGAAATTCATAGCACACACAAAAGCCTACAGAAAGTCCATCCTTGTAAACAAAAATTTAACATTTTAGATCACTAAAAGCATGCAAGCGACAGCAAGTGAGGCAAGATTTATTGATATATAAGATATGGAACAGCATTATTTGATACTTACATCCAACATCTTTCTATTTACATACAAGACCCATATTTATTTTACATTATTAATACTTCCAGCTTGATCGCTTCACTTTTGAACACTTTCTTTAGATGCAATATCTCTGCACCTTGCACTATGTCAAGTTGAAAATATATATACATACACCATTTCATAACTTACAGTCAATAAAAATCTCTTCAAATTATTCAACTGGGTTAGTTACACAAAAACTTGTGGAAAATGCCACAAAAGTGTAAATTTAAATATTTTCCAAACCCTTCCCAATTTAGTTCCATCTAAATCCTGTCAATTCATTTGATTTGCTGTTAAGGAGTTTGGTGAAATATGAAATCGAGATGAAATATATCTAGAATATAATGAGCTGAAAATAAAATAGTTAAATGTTTTTTACAGAAATATGCAGCGCAACTTCTTGATACAAACCAAACCAGCATTGGTTACAGCTTTTAACATTTCCCTCAACTTTTACTTAATAAGTATAATGCAAAGTCCAAAATGTCCATCCTTAATATGGCTTAAGAAAATGTGGATCATATTCTCTTCAATGGAATTGCCACTCTGCAATAAAATGGCCCTTATTAGCAGTTTAACACAATTCTGTATCTGGAACCGGTTTATGAGCGAAATGGTTTATCATACAAGTTGAAGTAAATCTGTCATTGATGTCCACATACTAAAATTCGACAATCTTTTTAATTCTTTGTGTATCACTCCATAAATTTAAATGGGACTGCATACAGCACGCTTTGTAATCTGCTAAGTAAAACCAAGCCTCCAATGTGCAATGACTACAGACAAAAATACAACAAGCTTGCATGCCAATTTAGTTACTGTACAAACCTCCGACATGCAAACCTGCACTAGAGCTAAGTAGAAGTGAAGGATATTATTACATGCAATATTCTTTTCTTGTCGTTAATAATTAATCTGTATACATGGAAAAGAATATCATGTTTGGTCAATTTGAAATCTGAATCACTAAGAGCTCTCACCTCAAACTCTGGCAGAGACAGATTTCAAACTGGCTATGCCACACACAATTTAGTCCTTTTTTTATACAATATCCACAATACCATACATTAGATTTTACTCTTGTTGTCAAACAGACTAAGTGATACAGTCCTCTTTTAGAGTAAAGTGAAGTAATGACATGATAATGATATGGTGGAAATCACTTCCCTCTGGTCCTTTAAAACTTTGTCAACGTCATACCAGGTGGAATTGCACATTGTCCTGAAATCGTTACTATGGACGATCTCACTTTGTTTTATATAAGCATGACTTTTTATAGAACCAGTTCCATTTATTCAACTGCATATGGCTATTTTCAATGTAGTCCATACTGCACAGTTTGTCTAGGACTTGCAGCACCCACCACTGGATTGCTGGTTTTCTTGTGTGATAGTCATTCCTTGGTTCCTTTGTGGCTGTTGACCACCTTGCTCTGTCTTGGGGAGTTTCTTGGCTAAAAATGAAATATTGAAACTGTCTCAACTTGAAAGGTTTAAGTGGATTAACTTTCCCAAAAAGAGGGATGTAACAAACTATTTTTCCAAGAGAAACAATGATGCTTATGAACTTCTAGATAAATAGTTTAAATGAAAAAAACAGAGAGATACTAAGGGACAAAAAGGAATAAACTTGTTCCTTAGAAAACAGGCAAAACATACATACCTATTGCCAAGAAAATGTCATTTACATTCATGGCAGTTTTGGCCGATGTCTCCATGAATAATAAACTATTTTCATCTGCATACGCCTGAGCTTCCTGCCAAAGCAAACAAAAAACAGTAATTTTTTTTAAATGTGAAAAGAGTCTTGGTACTTATTCCCCTCCCTCCAAACATCCATTTACTTTTTGACTGTGACCATACTACCTGACACCAAATCTTAACATTTTACACCCATTTTTGAACTGACTTAAATGGATATTTTACTATGAACCATTGAAGCTTATCACTCATACCCAAGAAACTTCAAATCTATTATTTCTAAGTGACTTATGTATTGCCCTTACCTCATAGTCTACCATCCGTTTATTAGCCAAATCGGCTTTATTTCCTGATAGCGCTATCACTATATTAGGGCTGGCTTGTCTCTGAAGTTCCTTCACCCAAGTCTTTGCTCTGGCAAATGAATCCTGAAAAGAAGAAATAGGTTACTTAAGAGTCATTTTGAGTGATCTGGCTTTAAGCCAACAAGGTACACAGACACATTGAGCGATGGCTATGAAAAATGCCACAATTTATTGATTTTCTAGGCAAACAACACTTCACTCATTTTTTATTACAGCCTTTGATGTCACTAATGAACCCTAATTGCTAATCATTTAGAAATATATATTGCACCACAGTGATTTTTATTGACCAAGAAAACAATTTTTTGAGATGAAACTATAATGCTACTGGAAAAATTGGTACTAATGTTGGTAAATGCACAGCACTCAGATAAATAACATTATCTGACCATCTAGTGTCTAAAATCAATGAACTAGACTATCGTATTGCTAAAAAAAAAATAAAAAAAATCCCCTGCAACGCCATATAAGTTTACAATTTATTACCATTTAGTATTGCTATATTAAAACATTTGGAGAAAAATGTGTAACAGACGGACTCTCTGGTTGTGTAAAATTTTATTGCTACAACTAAAATTTTCACCCCTGATCTTATTCAAGGGCGTTTATAAAGAGTGCTGGATATACGTCTTGGTCTGAAAACACATAGAAACAGACAGATGAACAGCAACTTCAGCACTATTAGAAAATACCGCGTCAATGCCTTTTATAATGTGAAGTCACGTGGCAAAGACGCGGGAAGACAGAACAAAGGGACATAGACAAAAGAACAGACAAAGGAACAATTAGAGGGCGTCAGAGCTACATCAAGTCACAAGACAAGACGAGTGACGAGTTCATATTTACACATAGTTACAAATGTCTTGTGAAACTGATGGGGGAGAAACCACAAATTATTTTCAAAACCCCATATTCAGGTAGGGTATAGCATAACCACCCTTGAAAATATCTTATTGTTATCAATACACTGATTCATATAAATGTAAAAGCTAAAAATCAGGCTTATCTCTCTCAAAGGTGAATGCACACACACAGACACACACACACACACCAATGTTAGCCTAGCATGATCCATATCACTTACTTGATTTGTGATATCATAAACAACTATGGCAGCTTGTGCACCTCTATAATACATAGGGGCCAGACTGTGGTACCTCTCCTGGCCTGCTGTGTCCCAGATTTCAAACTTAACTGTTGTGTCATCAAGACAGACTGTCTGTGTGAGAAATGCAGCTGGAGAACAAGAGTTTGCTTGATGAGTGCAAGTTAATTAATACAGTGACATTTTAGACAATAAAAGCAGGTTCCCACTTCCACACACTGACCTACAGGCTTCTCAAACCAGAAATGGTTGGGTGTACAAATCTCATTTTATAAGTTCTCGTTATGTTTAGACAGAGCTAATTTTTTATCAATAATTAAAAAGTTACGATAATTTAACTTCAAAATCCAATGAACAGGGATCTTGTTTACATTTATGGAGTACACAATTCTTATACATAAATGAAAAGGTTACGTTTTTGCAAGATTCATGGATCCGAATGCCTTATAAATACATATTAATTATAAACAACACCAATTTATATTTCTGTCTCACCTCCAATGGTACTCTCCTGGTACTCGTGGAACTGTCCTTTGACAAATCTTAGAACTAAACTTGATTTTCCTACTGCAGATTCCCCTAGTAATACCAGTTTAAACTGACATATTTTGCCCTGTGTTGCTCCATTGGGCCTTTGAGCACCACTGCGACCTGCCATCAGTCTTTAGTGTAAACAAAGAGTTCAGATGATGGTTTTCCAAATGATGACTAATCCTGAAAAAAAAAAGAAAGTTCTCTTTTAAATATAGACTGAACATTTGAATGTGCATGCAGTGGTTTTCATCCTTACTATTAAAATACCATCCAACTTGACTAATAAAACATTGAAATGAAACATCAAATCTTTCAAACTTGTGTATTATTTTTTTACACTGACATTAAAAAATGAACTACTGTCATTTGACAGCAACCCAAACTTTAAAACAACAACCTAACTGAACAATGAAAAATGCCCTCCGTTTTGGAATAAATCTAGACACAAGTTGAATGAAGTGCATTTGCTGCTTTAAATGTACCATACTATGTGATTATTAGTACTTGCATGTAAAACTAAAAGATTTCAACAGATGCACTGCCACTGAGCTGACCCTGATGTCATTGGATGGTATGGCAAATACTGAATGACTTCAATGTCAATGCTCATCATAACATATAATTTCTTGATTATGTGACTTATTCACAGACAACAAATGCACAGTATCTCTATTAGTAAAACAATGTATTTGACTTAATATGCTGGTAAAAGAATGTTAAAGATTATGGTTTATCTTTTTTAATAATGATAGCTGCCGTATATTATCCAGTCATCATAGGAGCACTCAACAAAATTGTAAACTAATATTTTTTAATTACTTACAAAATATATTTATCATGTTTATATTAAGGTACTGTTCTAATGTAATCAATACAACCAAAGCCCATGTCACTTGACAGATGTGAGGCTTGCCGCTTACTGAAAACACCACTTCAACTTGTCAGTTCTGTGTCAAATGTCATGGTTTTATATATATACTGACCTCATTCTACAAATTTGGAGACATGACAGTTAGCACTGGAAGTTAAACCACAACACTGAAAGACTACTTTTCAGTAAATATCACTTGCATTATAAAGAAAGAGGAAATAGCACAATGATAAAGAGAAAACATTTTTGACATGCTAAGTGCACTTGTATGATTAAAGGCTTTTGGCATTTGGCACTTCAGCACAAATTTTCAGGTGATAACAGTTATCCAAGTGCCCTTTTGTCGTATGGGGTTACAAAGTCATACTGTAGAGGCTATTGAAATGGCCTCACTGTGACCTCAATTTGGCTTTGTCTTCTAAGTGATCTCTTAAGATATAAGAAATATTATTATTATTATTATTAAAAAGCAACTATCAGGTTAGATATGTTTATCTGGTGTCTATGACCCTCCATTAACTTGATTGTACCATATACAAGAAAGATCATTTAAAGACACTGAAAGTCGTGACGCATCATACTCATACATAACATAACGTCACAACATCATCTGATATTTTTACCCAAAGGCTCGTGTGGCCCTTGTGCATAGCACCAATTAAAAGAGGCGATATGATCTATTCAATAAGAAGAGAAAAACGGTCATAAATGTGGGCAATCCATATTAAATGTGTAAAAAGAAGCAATTCTATTTAAGGAAGCTTCTTATCTTGGCTTTCCGCATATTTTCGCACCATCATCTCCCATCATCCCCCAGACCCAGGACACTGTCGTATTGAACACCCTTCTAATATGACGTTGAATTTCAATCAAAAGCGAGATAGTTTCAATTAATGCTACAGCTTAAATCAAAGCATACTCACCAAAGACTATTTCCTGTTGATGGATTAAAGTAAGCTTGATTCTGACCTTGGGAAAAGTATGGGTCACTATATCAAAATATTGGATATTCACTACTTCGTTCCACCCTCTGATGGTACATTGCACTACTTGCGAAAAAATATATCCATCCGCGCGTATGGAAATACGTTTTTCTGTTTAAGAAATTCAAATGCAATGTATTATCGTAGGAATTGTGTTCCCTACACTCAAAACTAATGGAATGACAGCTTTTATTGAAAATCAAAAAGCTTTATTCTTTTTTCGGATTATTTGCTAAAAGGGGACTGAGCTTGTGATGTGGCCTGTCCATGGACAGCCAATGAAAACCCCATGAAGTGATGTCAATCCGGAAATAGAATAAAAATCTCGATGAAAGAAACAGGAAAGTCAATTTTTTAATATTTCAACTTTGAAAATAATCACAACTCTCTCAAATTAAACAAATATCAATAAGAATAGAAAATCACTGTAAATATTATCTATATCACTTTTTTAATATTTCATATAACTTAACCTTCACCTTGACCTGGTTGCCATGGGATAGGTCAAACAAATGTGTTTTGGTTGGGAACTACCTTGGTGTGTTTTGTTGAAGTTGTAGCACAAAGCTCAAGGCGCATCTATTAGTCTGCCTTGTAGGAACATTGAAACGGTTTAAAGGAACTCTACAAACCTGATTATACGTGATACAGTAAATGAAATAATGACAACAGAGGCAGAAACGAAGCCAGCTGTCTCCCAAAGCGGCGATCAACTGAAGCTGCCTAACATAGTAACACAGAGCATTTATGCAGGGAAATACAGAGACAGAAATCCAGATATTTCAGCAGTAAGTTGAGAAAAATATGTACTTTTCTTTAGTTTTAAATGATCGCCTTAATGATGGCAATATCATTTTTATATATATATTTTTTTTTCATTTGAAATATCTCTTTTTTCTTTTTATTTTAACAAATGTCTAATATACCGGTACATATTGCCGGCATATATATTGTTAGAATTACACAATTATCAAATGATATATTACATTGTAGGCTGGTAAATTAACAGCAACAGGAGATTCTGCCTATCAGTGTCTAACACCACCAGCAAGGGTGAGTTATTAATTTTTGTGTAATAAACATTTAATTGAGTTTTAAATAAGATAAACCAGTGATGCATCAGAATTTGCCAACGCTATATTTTCATTCAAGGGGTGAAAATTTTAATATTCTTACATAACAGTTTGATACAAGGAGCTTCAATTAACATAAGTCATATCAATTAGTTACAGTTGTTTTGATTTATTTTTGTTCTTATAGCACTCAGGTATTTGATAAAGCTTTGAATGTTAAAATTTAATCTTTTAATATGACATACTTACATCTAAATGGTTTTCAAATTACTTTGTTAACCTTCACTTCATGTGTATTTCAGCCACTATCTCCAGAATCAGTACGCAGGTTTAGGGCCACTCTTCGCCCAGATGCAGGCAAGCCATCCGTATTTTATGGCAAGGCATATGATCCACATTTGAGATGGGCAGCTGACATGACCCATGGACTGGTGGCACAGCCTTCTATTGCTGCTGGGAAGTTACTCAACCCTCAGCCATTAACATTATTTAAGTACAAGCTGAACCAAAAGAAGGAGCAGTTGTATGCTAGTCACAGGAGAGGACCACTTGGGAAATCTCATGATCAGAAACCAGGCTTCCCAGAGGGCCTTGATGTAGACAATGTTACTTTTGGTATTCTTACTGAAAGAGGTGAGTTTAGATATAGAATGACATTAATAAGTGGGTGTTGACAACAGTTACTACTGCAAATCAAACAAATGTTGCTTCATTCATATGTCTTATCAGATCATGAATAGATAAATATTTAGAGCTCCACTTATATAGGAATAAGACAGTTAAAGAATTGAACAGAAAGTCTCACATTATTAATGACACCACTTCTTGTGTTTCAGATATTGGAGCTGGTATTCTGATAAACCCAAACAAGTCACCTCTTCAGGTAGAAGAAGAGTCAGAGGTTGGAAGAGATTTGTACAGAAAATCCCATCGAGATTATTTGGTTGGTGAATCAAAGGACAGAAAATATGCCCCACCAAACTATGGTAAAATGAAATTGTATGGTGTTCCCACCCCACATGATAACACAGGAGGACTCACTAAGAAGTCCTTGAAGTGGCTGCATGAGCTGCAGAGTGAGAAGGCTGCCAAAATTGTGTCCAAAAGAGTTGATGACTTCAGAGAAAGAACAGAGCCACAGTTGGGTCAAGTTCATGATCCGTAAGTATATCTATTTTTGCTCTCTTTATTTTATTATTCAGTGTGCTAAAAAGTATTATCAAAAAAGACAGTGAAGACTTCTAAATATTCTTTAAAAAACTTCAAGGCACCCCTCTAGCTGATGATAGTAAAGTTTGATTATGTCATTTTAAATGTTAAAAAAGGACAAAAATGATATTTTTTTCATGTTTTAACCCTTTTAAAATTAACAATATACATCTGTATATTGAAATTTCTCTGAGTAATATTTTTATCCACTGATTTAATTTTTGTCCAATTTTTCTATTAGGATTAAAGACACATTGCGTGTCCCACCAGACCACACCTTTGGTATCCTTGTCAAGCCAGATACCTATGGAGCTGGTGACTTAATGCATGGACGAGTGCCAGGAGAATATCTGAGAGGAAAAGACAGGCAGCGTGGAGTGCTGGCAGCAATCAGGCAACATTTGAAGAAGGCCAACTACCACAGTTTTGAGAACTTGCTGCATGCTTTCAAATTTTATGACAAGGTACGTAATTGACTTACCAATTTCTTTTTCAAGGATCTTAATTTCAACCTTTTGACTACAAATGCAAGTATGCCACAATTTTTTCATTTACAATCGTTTTCATATGAAGTGCTAATTTGTGGTAACTTGCAGTATGGCAAAAAGAACTACCTGAAAGAAAATGTAATAGTTAGACCAAGCAAGGTTTTAAATTGCAATTTTTTGTCATGTTTCAGGATGGAACTGGTAAAATTGATATCAACAACCTCCATGAGGTGTGTGCCCAGTTCAACCTGCCTGTGGAGCCAGAACTGTTGGTTCAATTAATGGATTGCTGTGATGCAAATAAAGATGGTTTTATTGACTATGTGGAATTTGCCAACTTCCTCAACTGGAAAGACAAACTGCCAAGCGGATTTCCTGACAAAAAAGGTAGGTTACTTAGAGCAGAAAAAATTGATAGTTGCTCTGTAATTGATAGCAGTAGATGCAAGCAAACCACAGGTATATCCAATAACAGCAGAGTAAAAGCAATTAAAATCTTATTTAGTTATGTAATTATTTTTTTTTTCTTACAGATGAAACAGCACACACTTCTAATGCAGTGGTAGAAGATAAAGATTTGGTACCCAAGAGTCCCCAGAGCAGAGCTAGCACCCCAAGGAGACTGCAAAAACAAATAGACGATGCTATAACTCAACAGAAAACAAGTTCATCCGTTATCAGTGCAGTTGTTGGAGGATTGTCCACAAAAGGTAAATTTTAAACTCTTAATGTTCTCTCTGAATGAAACTTTTATGATATTAATTACTACAAACAATCTTAACCATAATGCCTTGATCCATTTTACTTTTCTGATGGCAAAATATGAGAAATGTTATTTATTATATTTTGCAACTGTTATTTTTCAGACTACCGTTCCTATGGAGTTCCAACAATAAGATCAGACATTCCGGTTCCACGTATCAGAAGAATTGATGATACCAAAAATTATGGAGATGAGTCTGATGCCTATGGCCTTCTAAATCCTTCCATTTACAGTGTTCAGGGGGTGCATGAAAAAGATTTCCTCCTTCCAAGACCAAAAGAAGAGGTAATTAAAATTTGAACTGTCAAGCAAACAGTAAACATCAATCCTAAATTTATTATTTATTTATTTATTAATTTATTTATTTATTTTTGCCCATTAAAGAAATTTTGTCTAATCATGACAAAAAAATAATGATTGAATTTTAAAACAGATTTTCTTGTGATTGCAGATCAAAGAAATTTTTACAAATATTGGAGTCAAGATGACACTCGATACATTTGATGACTTATGGAAAATGGCATCTCAAAGGCATCCCAAGGGGCACGTCAGTGTTGAGTCCTTCAGAGGTGTGTTAGATGAGATTCAGGCAGCTCAGTTGCAGTCATAAATCACAAACACAATGAAGCAGTCCTTAGAAAAACTGAAATCACGTCTACTTCCATTGAACTGATATTTTGCGCATGCTAATGAATGAACATGGGGAATTTTTACTGTATGTTTATCAAGCGAAAAAGATAAAAACCATCTAAATTTTGTAGGTGTATCACATATCATTTTAAAACATTTACAGATTAGTATTTAAGTTTAGGGTTCATATATATTGCCATTGTATGGGTATCTTGCTGTATATGTCAGACAAGTTTCTTGTGCCAACCCTTGTTTACTAACATAAAGCAATAATGTTAGCTTTATAATTTTGTTGTTATTCTCTGTGACATATCAATATAAACTTGATACTCACCATTTTAAAATGTTATTCAGTTTTAATTGTAATTTGCTGAAACATTTATATTGCACTTTTACCAGTTTTGATGTAGACTATCAGTGTATTGTTTTTTACATTGTTGGGTATTACTGCAATTTTTACACATTAAGCAGACCATAAAAAGTGCCACAACTGTAAAAATGTAAATAAAGCTTCTGTATTATTCAAAATGTCAGTCTTACAAAGTTCAATAGCTCTTAGTTCNATATTGTATAACCGCCATTAAAAAACATTCAATTCCAATAAAAAACATCTGATTCATCTATATGGGGAAAGAATTTGACCTGTACATAAAGAATCAAAAAAATTGTCATGCATATACTCTTAACAAAAACAAAATATGTTTAAAAAACCGTTTTAAATTACAGACCTTAAGAAGGTGGGCAGAATCACTGAACAAAATCACAGACATAAAAAGAAAAGAAATCAAGATTACTATATACATCATATTATATTTAAAAACTGGCTTGATACACTCTAATTAATGGTGTAAAATGATTCTTCATAATATATAGCTGGCTGATACATTATTTACTTCTGATCATAATACACTGCTTGCAAAACACCAACCAATCCTGGATGTGATGTAAAAATTATATCACTCAACACTTTATCTGACCACCAATAGTGATTTTAACCCTATATCTGCAAAGTTATTGTTGTACAATTACAATACAACCATAAGAATCAGATTTTTTCTTGGGCCCTCCACCTTATCAGATACTGTGGATCAATCGGTACTCTGAAAACACAACCACCATATCATATATTCCATACATAGAACCAGGTCAGTGATTTTAAAAAATCTTTTTGTTGATGACTGTGCTCTCATAGCATACACAGCAATTTGCCCTTCCACTCACTGTCAACAAGTTTGATGGGCCTTGCCCTCTAATCAACCATCAATCTTGGGAAAACAGAATTGGTATTCCTACCCCATCTCCTTACAACAGACCACCCTCCACCCATCTCCACTGATATATCTGACCAGAAGATGCGGAAGAATTTAGATATCTCAGACACATAATTTCAGAAACTGACAGCAGCAATGAGGTGTGCATAAAAAAGGAAAGCAGCAGCAAAAGCACCTATCCTTTCCTTCCCACACGAACCTTCAAAGCCACCTCAGAATTCACTGTACAGGGATATCATTAGTTCATGTACAGACCGATTACAAACCACACCCAGGAAACAAGATCACCATTGCAGTTATATTATCCTTGGCACCGGCTAACAATGCAGCATGTACAAGTCTCTCAGACATGACTTTCGCAAAGTCCCTCTGAATGTCCTCCCTGGTCAGAGCAAAGGATGACCGCCCAGACTGACCGGGCATGGACAACAAATCCGTCATGGACTCTACATCTCCCTCCTCCCCTGATTCATGTCCAGACTCATACCCAGTGTTACTACCAATCTCAGTTCTCATATCATCAGGATCATAATTTGGCTTGAGGTGATTCTCAGCCAGTGGCTTGTTATTTTCCTCATGCTGTTCTAGAATCGGTGACTGGGCCTGCTTGTTCATAACATTGGTTTTTCCTGCACTTTTCTTTGAAGTCACAGACACACTGTCTATATTTATTTCATCATTGAAGGACAACTTTCTCATGTTGCTCTGCTGGGATTTGTTCCGCTGGTCATATGCCTTGGACATTGGAGTATAGATACTTGCATCGATATCCTCCATGTTGGACTGTCCACGCGCATTGTATTCAGCAAGGAGTAAGTTGACACTTGTGCTTACTACACTTGGTGCTGGGATTTGGTTTGATGGTAGGAGCTAGAATAGAAAAATAATTAGAAGACTTAATTTTTTTTTCTGATGGCCTCTTTGTTTTTTCATGTTTGTCATGAAAACCACTTTCAGATATATTCTTGTATAGCTTTCAAAACTAAATTTAAAGGGATAATAACTCTTCGTATGAGATCTATATTTCACAATAAAAACATTGAGAATAACTCATAGAAATATAATATATTGTTTTACCACAAAAATGGCAGTTATAGCTATTATTCTGATATCTGAGCTTGTCTTTAGACCACGTGACCTCCATTGATGGCTATACTCTGTTAAAATCTCTTAAGAGATTTTAACAAAAAACAAACTTTTTAGAAAAAAAACAGGGACTGACTTTGAATGTATAAGTGGATTCATTAACCATTGGTAAGTATGGGAAAATTGTTGTTTACACCAGGAAAATTCATTTTTTGGCCAAAACGAAGAGTTATTATCCCTTTAAACATAACAGTAAAAATTAATACATTCTGATTTCTGTTTTCATTTAAATTATAATTCTCCCCTAAAACAAGTGCTTTAGTCGTTTTTTTTTTCCTTAAAGCAACTCATAATTGACATTTCAAGGCTACCGAGACCAGCAGTGATTGGAAAATGTCAATCATTCAAATGTCAGACATTTTCAAACAATGTTTATAAATTTAACAAATATTAGAAAAAAAAACTGGATTCTGCACAGACAGCATCTGGAGAATAAAACTAATTAAAAGAGAGAAAATTTGTAACCTTTCCGAGTTTCATTCTAAAAATATGTATCTAAAATGCATGAGTGCAAAACAAAATAACTGAGCAAGGAGTATACAAAATCCAATTTTCCAAAACAAAAATGATTGCAAACAATGAAACAACAAAATACTTCTTTTCTTAGTCCAGTCTTGTTATTTTGTTGCCATTGCATGAAAGCATTTTATTTTCACCACCAATCAAATAATTGTGAAAATGACATAAAAAGAAAAAAAATTATTCAAATCTTTGCAAAAGTAAAATAAAAAAGTAATCATAATTCATTAAACAAGAAAAGGAATGAAAATGAAACAAATACAATTTCAGCAACCAGACAAACCTTTTTATTTTTCCCAAACTTCAGTTGAGTCTTTAAAAGCAATGTTACAAAAGCAATGTTAAAAAATTCCCGCAATCTATCAACTATAGCTCTTGAAAAAGCTATGAAATTATGTTAAATGATTCAAGAATGTTCCTTTTCCATATAGAAATTGTCAGCATTAAAAGGAATAAACCTTTATAAAGTCAAAATTGTAGGTAGGTACATTGCTTAAAATCAAACAATTTGAGATATGGGTTCACCCTTTAAAGTATGCACCATCCTTTGAAAAAACTTCACAATTTTATGAAATCCAGAAAACGTTTGAACCCTCTGATGATAACACTCTATTTGTACTTACTTGAACAAGAAGAGCTGCTGCTTCATTTTCACTGAACACCTCCCAAATTCCATGTGAAGCTAAGATGAGGAACTGAGCATACTGATCAATGGGTACTGTAGTTGTAAAAGGCTCACATGGGACACACTTCTTCAATTTGACATCACCATGGTTACCAAGCCCTCTGGTGGCCAAAAGTATCCCATTGACCAACTTGTTTTTGTCACTTTCACTGATATAGCCACCTAGAGAGAGAACATTACAATATACAGACTAGGACAAAAAGTGAGTATCTATTAGTGATTAAAACTTCAGTTTTTGGAAAATTGTTGCAGCATTTGCTAGGATTAATCATCATCAAGGTATATACTGCAAAAAAAAAAAAAAAAATGAAATGAAAACTTACAGACCATGAGATTTTATGATCTTTTGTTAAAACAGTAAAAAAATTATTTTCAAATTGTCCAAATTAAAGTTTGACTGCAGTCTCAGGTATTCCTTACCCTCCTTTATAACCCGGGCTCTTTCCTTGTCATTGGTGGGGGTGTGGTTTCTTGTCAAACGGTAGGCCCTGTTATCACGCACCAGTATTGCCTGCACATTTCCTAAAGGCAAAACATTATTTGAAATCGACATCAATAAAATTATTAAATTTCTATTTTCTTGATCATCCTGCTTTGTGACCAAACTTTCTATACGCTGTGTAATAATATTTATCGAACCTCAATTTCTATCCAGAATTGTATGAATGCAGAGCCTAAAAAGAGGAACAATTGACCATAATTCTTGACCTGTCATACAGAAATTATATACCACTTCTATAATTTTATCAGAACTGGCAAAATAATTTCACAATTATAATATCCATGTTATGTATATATACATCCCTAACCTGCATGTGCCAAATGGAGAAGCCCAAGTTGTTTAGGAGGCTCAGGCTTTGAAACTTCTGGTTGATCCCTGGTGTCTGGCAGAACATACTCCTCTGGACATGTATTCTGCAATAACACAGTCAAGGCAGAGCATCCACTCCACCTCACTCTAGATTGCTCGTCTTTCCCAAATGATAAATAATGATCTGTCTGATAGTAGGCCTCAATGAAAGCAGAGGACATATTTTCTGAGTAAGGATCTTTCTTTTTCTTTGCTTCTGAATGGCCCCGACTTTTCCTCCCAGATAGTCCTCCACTTTTTCCTCTGTAACTGTGTCCATTACTTGACCCTTTTTCATCCAATTCATCCATGGTAAAAATGTGATCAAACTGAACATTTGGATCAAAATTCTGCATCTCTTTTAAGAGATAGTACTGGAGTTCACTAGCAGCCATTTCTGCAGCATATGCACCCCCATGTCCATCATAAATGGCAAAATAGCTTTTATTATCATCTTCACCAAAACTATCTTGAAACACTCTACAGTCCTCCATACTATTTTTCCATCTTTCATTTCTATCAGAACACATCCCCATTGCTAGCACACACTTAGGTCTACAGTTCAAACCTAATCCTTCTGAGGTTATTTCCATCTTCTCCTCCATTTGCCTAGAAGCAGTATATGTATCTTCAAGATCTGACTTAAGAAGTTCAAAAGCACTGTTTATTGTTTGAACCATTTTTGCATCAGGTGGTAACCCATCATCATACTCGGACCTTAATTCTCTAAGAAGTAATATCCTTCGTTGTACTAAAGCTTGGAGGTCTTCAGGGTAATCATCTCCAAAATATCTCATGGTCTCCAAGGAGTTATGGTAGGCCCTGTGGTCCTTCAAGTCACGTAGATCCACAAATATCTTACACTTGTCACACATCATTGTGATATCTGGTTTCTCTGGATATTCACTAAGCTCAGTTTCAGGTGTAGCTGAAAATAAATTAGAACTCTATTGCCTTTTTTGCCACAATATTGCTGCAATCTATTTTCATGTCCTAGATTTCACATACACAACCCACTTGGTGACTATATATATACATGTATATATGTGGCAACCAGATCACAAGTACTATTGTGGCACTCTGTTGTTCAAGTACAAACTACTTGTGAAACACACATTGTCTTGGGATTAATTTTTGAAATGTTTGCTAACTCACCTTGGAATGCTGTAAATACTGACAAAGAGGTAGGAGGCCTGGACTTAAAATTTTGCTTCAACATTGCTCGGAAGGATTTACATTGCTGAGTGCCTTATGGGAACATGAGGCCAAGTTACAGTGGCCATTAAAATATCATAGGGGAGGACTGGGGAGAAATAGTCAATAAAATCCAGCTCTTGAATATAGTTGATATCATGAAGTTTTTCATTACCAGCGCTAAATAAAAAAATTCCTTTGTGTTATGCAAATTAATGTTCTGGATATTTTTGGAAATACTGATAACTTATAACCAACCATGCCCTTAAGCTTCCACCACCCAAAATAACCGTGCACAACACCTGTCACTAAGCACTTGTTTGTGGACAATATGGTTAAAAGTGTCAGGTTACTTTTTAAGGGAAGCTGGAAAAGGGCAAACCAGCAAAAAACAGATAAATTTCTAGAAAATACTGAAAAAAGGTAAAGCTTACACAGTTTGCAGTTGGCAAAACTCTTTTCGTTATTTAAAATTAATTTCTAGGATTTAGGGAGGATAAATTTCAGATTCAATTTCTGTCCATCATCCATGACTTTAGGGTCACCAATCACAACTGTTGACACTAAAAACAAACTTTATTTTATCAAGCGTCCATTAAATTTGACGAACAATTTTCATTCGTTTATGCAATGAAACAAATTCACAATGACCCTATTCTGTCACCAGTTTGCCTGTTTCAGATGAATGAATTTGACGATTTCTCCTTTTCAAA